CTGGCAGCCCCATATGCCCGGATAGCTAATCATGCCAGTGCCACTAAAATGTCAGGCCATGAGCCAGGAGAAGTGACGCTAATGAGCTGACATAATCCGAGGGCCAGCCAAGAGGATAGGACGGAGCGACTAACTGTGGCTCTCGCATCACTGGCTGCGCAATTAAAAATATTTAATCATTATTGACACACGCGCGCTTCTCCAACGAAATTCCAGGCCATCATTTCATATTTTCATATTTTTGTCTTTGTTTTTCCATTCTTTTAAAGTATTTTCATTGGTGTTGACAAACTAAGCCGCTTTCACTTGCCTGCCTCGCTTGATCCTCTTTTGTGTGCGGCCCTGCCTGTGAAAGTTTCCCAATTGAGTTTTTAATGCAGAGGCAAAAACAAAAAAAACGAAATCTTTCGGTCAGACTTAACGCCTCATCCGGCGCCCAAAACGACCAGGGAAAGTCTTGACTACAGCCAATGCCAGGGCAACAGCCGCAGAGATGAGGGCACAAATTAAGAGCAGCTTTGTGCCACAAATCAAATACTGGACAACCCACGTCATTGGCATACTAAACGCTTATTTCGTTTATTCATACGCCCCGTTGGCCGACCAGTCGACTCCACTAGACATCCACATCGACATCGAACCCGACTGGGCCGGCCACTCAAATAAAAATGCTCATTACAAGTACGGGCGCGCCAAATTTTTATTGTTGCACACATTTGCGTCTACTCTAGGCTGTAGTCGTCCATTGCCAGTCCTAAACTTATTCATGTTGTACGCATATTTGCCAGCAATTTGTTCAGAAGTACATATATAAGTTAACTGCCTTTGTTTGCCAAACGATGTTCGATGCGTTGCGGAAGGCCAATAGCCTCATTCTTCATACTTTGAATATTTGATTAAGATGCCAGATTTTTTATTACGGGGATAGTCACTGCGATAGGCAGCAAAGGATGCTGCTTTGATGGGATAGATAGAAGAGATACCCATTATAAATAAAACAAGACTCTATTCAGCAGGATTTTAGGGTTCTTTCTGCTTCACAACCATACAGATGTGATGCAATTATTTTCTAGCTTATTCAATTCTCATCTAATTTTATAAAAATCTAATAAAAACTGATATAAGTAGATCCCGACCTATGCTACAATTTGGGACAATACAATTACCTATGACAAAGGAATGGCACTGGCAAAAACCCTTCTCAATTGCCATTTTTGTCATATCGGCAAATGAAAAGTTTTGGCCCATGACCTAAATTTAACTTTGCTTTTCACCTCTCCAGAGCTGCGACGACCTCCGCTGCTCCGTTAATAATTGAGTTGATTCCACCCATTTGCCTTTCACCTTTGGACAGTTCATATCCGTGTTCTGCCATTGGCAAACATTTCCATCGAACATATTTTCAATTATTTCCCAAACCAATTTCCCCTTTTGTATCCCCTGGAAGGGCTGATGAGGCTACTTCCGAAAGGGTTCCGCCTGCTCTGCTCTGTTCTCTTGTGTTCTGTTTGCCCAAAGTATTGTTCCTCTGGCAAAGTGGCCAGCGGGCAGCACTTTGTGTTTGGGCTCAGGTAAATACAATTTTCTGGGCAAACAAGCTTTACGCAATGAATTTTGTTCGGTGCAAGCATAAACGCAAGCATAAAAGTGAGAAGGGTTGTCGGTGCCAGAAATCCGACTAAGAGATACTCGATATTTTTATTTTATTTAGAAACTTTGAATATTTTCTTACCGTAAGGAACATATGATATACAAATGTACTTGCATGGGTGCCATGTGAATTTTATTTAATACAGATCTTCGATCTTTTCGGACTTGTATATTACTCAGGGCTTCGCCCATTCAGACATACATATGTATGTAAATACTTTCGGTCCAGGTCAAAATGTTATTAGAGACAATGAAGTCTTTCCCTTTCCCACGTTTATACATCTATCCAAATGAAATATATCCTGTTCATTCCACGAGTACCTGGCATTTAATGCCCTAGATTTTAGCACTAAGCACGCATGCCTTGCTTTGGACCGACGTTATGCATGGCACACATTTGTACGCCTCTATGTGCGGCATGCACATTAATTGAGCCACTTGGGGCATGGCATAATCAGCACACGCATAATGAGCACAATTAAAGGACAAACATAATTACAAGTGAGTTTGCACACACACACACAAAAGAGCAAAAGACTAAAACCGAAAGAGCAGAATGCCAGTGGTGGTAGAGGGGCCAGAAAGGGGCGAACCACAAAAAGAAAACGCCGCGGCGTAAAGTCCTGTGCAAACTGGGCAAATTCTGCTAGCGCAGGCACAATAGGAGCAGCCAGTGGGCAAGATGAAGTCGGGAACTGAGACCTTCTTATTTACGTATGAAAGTCACACAAAGCGATTCAAGGCCTCGGCGCTCGATTACACACCGGATTGGGGCTGGCTACATGGGTGGACCATGGGCTGGTAAATGCGGTGATAAATGAGTTAAGGTAATGCGCTACATGCGATGATACACCCTGAATACTCGGGCACGCGCGTCTCTAATGAAATCATTTAAATACAACCCACACTAGCAATCAGAGCGCACTCCCACTCCCAGCACCAAAACCCTTGTCTGGACAGAACATCTCTAGTTTGGAGTGTGGACTTGAGTGTGTCTGCTGGGGCTTGGGATTTGTAGCTACCACAAAAACGTGCCAAAGCCTGCTCGGAGTTTACTGTCCGCAGAGAAATGAGGGAGAATTGCAGGTTGAATTGTGACATTTGAGGTTGAAACCGAAGGAATTTCCTACTCAAAATATCTTGTTATCTCGAGTGCATAAGCTAGGGCCAGAGAACAGTTGTCAGGAAATTTTGACAGCCAGTGCCACAATTTTTGTTCGATGAAATAAAGTCCAAGCTGTGAAAATCATTGTTTAAAGAGTTGAATTGAAAGAGACTTTATTAAGATTTATTTCTCTTTGATAAGTTTACCCACACTTGGACTACATTTGTTTAAAAATACTAAAATTATTGAACAGAAAGTTTTTTGGAGCTACGCAAATCACTCTCGTGAATTGGTATCTGATTGCTTTACCCATTGAAAAGCTGTACTAAGTTATAAAGTTATATACATAACTTTCAACAAACTGGAAATTATTTGAAGCTTTACCAAGCTGTCTTTTAAACTGGTCTCATCTTGGCTAAAGTATTCCCCGGCATCTTTTATCCTGTAGCATTTGAACTTACCCACATCTATCATGAAGCTGTAAATCCCACAACCAGCATTAGAAAGAGAGCGAGAGCGAGAGAGAGAGAGGGATATACAAATTTCAACTATTTTACTGCAGGCACAGCTGCGTGGCTGCCGTTAAGGACACTCATCCGGAGCGCTGCTGTTGACTTCGATATATCAAGGCGAATGTCAAGGAGCGTGTTACTTTGTTTAACACCCAGCCAGTATCCACATGCATACACTTGTTCGAGTATATCAGGGCAGAGATGGCATTTCATTTTTTATAGCCAGCAGCACTTACGCACCAACGCGCCAGGGACGAACGATCGAGCGGATGAACGGATGGATGGCCCTCGCTCCGGACCGACAACATTACTGCAGCTGATGGTTTTTCAAACCATCTCTGGGTTGCTCATAAAACAAAAAACAGAGTACGAAACTACGCAATATGCTAACCGGGAGTAGCAGATGGAACCGAAAGGGTTCCATCCCATAAATAATAAACTCCGCCCACTCGCTTTTTATACAGAGATACAGAGAGAGAGAGAGAGAGAAAGACAGACCCGTACCGGCAGCTGCTGTTAATTTGCCGTGTCATTTGCAACACTTTTATGATTCAATTCCCCTTGCAGTGCCTCGTCACATAAAAAGTCAAACGATAGCATACACACTTCTCCTGAAGAGGGCGTGCCAATTAAGCCGAACCGACATAAAAGTTTCAACTCCCGCACTGTCCCATGCAGGACGATCCGATCCAAGCTCCGTGCCTTGGTCCAAAACGAGGGCCAAATATTTGCACCCAGTAAAAAAAAGGAGCACAAAAAAGCGATATGCAAACCAAAAACCGCACAAAAGTTTGGGAACATGGAAAGCGGCAAAATGTTTGAGCAGAAGATAAACGCGACTCGGGGCTACTGCCAGACCGAGCTGCAGGCTAAGCTTCCGTTTCCGGCGACTGCATTTGCATTGTATTTGCAAACTCTGAACATTCCCCTCATCCTTGCTTGCATTGCAAATGTTATCAAGTGGCGTTTAAGTCGACAAAAATAAACTTGAATAAATTCTCCTGCCATTGAATTATGCGACCCTGGGCGGGCATTATGCATCGTGATTTAATTTTAATCAATGCGCTTTAACATTTATTACTATTGTATTTACATTAATCAGGGTTAAGCGGCCTCACTAATGGACATATCATAGCCGTCATCGTTTTAACGTTTAATTATACAAGGGCCCGGCCCCTTTACTCTGTTCATTGTGGCCATAAATCATGTAGCCAAATGGAAAAATGAAACGGCCAACCTGCTGGCAGCACAAATGCAACGCTTTACATGATACTTACATATGTACATGGCTATTCTATTGTGCGTTTTTTTCTTTTTTTGGTCTAGGGATAATTGCCTTTGCAGGTGTAGCTTATCAACTCTTCACTAAAAAATTCGGCGGCTACTCTCAAGTTCTGGCTCATCACTAAATTATTTTCAATTTCGTTTCACAAATGGATGATAAAGTTTAGAACAAGCTTTTGCCATTTGTGAGTAGCTTTCGCTCAGAGCACAATTCTCAATTCCCTGTGGAATTCCTTTGGATTCCTTTTCCCACAAGTCACAGGAACAAAACAAAACTAAAAGACTTAATTAAGAATAATATTTTTGCAAACATTTCTTGAGTTCTAGAAAAGAAATATGCCATAAACTCAACTTTTCTCGGCTTGCTTTCGTTAAGCATATTTTCCTCAGTTGTTGACCACAAATTCTGCTGCCCAAGAGCATTGTAAAGTCGACCCAGAAAATGCCTTTTAATTGATTCTATATTTATATTGTAAAGCTCAACGAGTTGCAACAATTTATAATATCTAATACAAATTTTCATCACTAATCCAATTTATTCTTTCTGTCAGCATCGTCGATATTCACAGTTTCTATACTGGTAGTATCTTCCTGACCACCTAACGTCCTCTTTGGGTCTGGATGGCAGAAGGGGCATGGATTATCATCAATTTTCCGTGCTCTGATGGCCCTTATCGGAACCACCCTATGTTGTTTAAAGAGGCACTGCAGACGATGAGCTATAAAGGCCACGGGGATCAGAAGGAATGCCGCCATTAATACACCTATCCAATAGCCGTTCTGTAAAGATGTACAATATTATCGATAGCCGAATCGAATGAAACCGAAAGCAATGTGAGCATTACTTACTATGGGGTCAACTATGCGTTTGCAAACCAAGTCCAGGCCGCGTTCGTATATGTAGGTCAGAGGCTTGCAGCGACCGATCTTTGTGTGGGCTTCATTGACTATCATTCTGATATATGCATTGATTTGTTCCTCAATCACTGCGGTTAGGTTTTGGCCAAGAGTAGATATATAAGTTGTTCCCTTATTCTGTATAAATTTTTCGGCCTCCACAACTTTTTCTTTCAATATTTTGAGGCTATCGGCAAAGTTGAAGTTCTCGTATAAAATAAGCTTATCCATTAGGTAAAGTTTAGCAGCCATTTTCTTAAAATCCCTACTTAGCGCATTAAAATAGGGCGGCTTAATTGCCTTGAGAGTAAGAAACCCGTGTTCGAAAGCGACAGCGGCAAAAGGATATTTATTCCATGATATCGCTTTTCCCATAGCTCTGAGCTTCTGGCCCATCCCGTCCATATTTAATATGTTGAGGTCTTCGCAAATAATATTCATATATAAGCTGCTATGATACAACCCCATCGGAGAATCCTCCATTTTGGTTAAAACTACTTCCCGGTCCTCCTCCGTCAGTATAAAATCCTTTGATAGATCAAGATCTTTATCGTAACTCCTTGCTGCTGGGGTCACTATCTTCACACGCAGAAAATCGTTGATGTCAAAGATCCTGTTTTCGAGCAGATAATTAAAAAGATAGTTGTCGCCCTCGCACGCCTTGATAACACTCGATACTTTGATTGCCTTGGCTGATTGATTGGAAGCTGGTGTTGTCATATCCACATTGCCGGGGTCAGAAAACATCGTCCGGAGATCTATCTGTGAGTCTAGGTGTTTGAGAAGCGCACTTTGCTTCTGTTTCCTGAGTGGTGCGCATGCGCCTTTGTACGCCACACCACCAATTACAAAATAAAACAACGACACCATCAGAATGACGGATAGCATACAAAATATCAAAGAAATGGATCTGCACGGCCAAATGTGTTCTTAGTTAAGATTGCTAGTTAATAATCTCAGAGCACTCACAATAACAGCAAGTACGACGCTATCCTAGTAGTAAAATATTCACTATCCGATCCGGTGGGCCGTTTTAGCAGACAGCCCATTAGCAAAGCCAAAACCAGTATTATCAGTTGCTAATAGAGAGAAGAATTTTTGGTGATAATTGGAGGCACCATGCATTGTATGTTTGTACATAGATACTCACCAAACCTACGGCTACAGCGATATATAGAACGACATAGTAACGTGTTTCATTAAATTTGTCGTAAAGATCCTCAAACGCCCTGCTCGCACGTATAGTGCCAAGGTGAATGTCACTAATGACCACTTCAATTATTTCATCTATTCTCCTCGACTCTGCGGCAAACAGCTTCCTTCCCTTGCGTATGTCTCGAATTATCGGTGGTGAAACTCGTTCCATCTCGTTCTTAATCTTTTTACTAACATTACGGAGACGTGCTAACCATAGTACTGGTCTTTCTGAATATTTTTCAAACGCAGTCAAATCTGCTATCATAGCTTTTGGTTCCGGCATCTAGTAGAGAGCAATTGCAAAGGTTCCGTTATGTTGGTATTGGTATGTACTTACCTCGTCCAAGTGAAGGCATTTGGATGTGTCGAAAAAATTAATTTCTGTGGTATGCAGAAACTTTATGCATTCTAAACTGCCACAGAGCACCGCCGCCGCGTAGTCAGCGTCGCGCTTTACACTTCGGAGAGCTGAAAACGAAATGCAGTGGGAGCGAACATACCAAAACAAGTAGTAGCGTTAAATATTCAAGCAGTATACTCTACTCTACTCAGTATAATCTATCTATCTAATAAAAACGAGAAAGAACGTGTGAGTCGCTTCTGGGGACGCTACTCTACTTATACCCGTACTCAGTATATACATTTTTGAGCTTATGATTATTTTGAATTTTAAAATTAAAAAAAAAAAGTTTACATTTTACATTTTTACATCTGTTATCTGCATCTACATCTACAATGTGCATGCCCTCCACAACAAATCATCGATAGCACCATACCAACTGAAGTATCTGGTCATTGCAGATTCATCGTCGTGCGACCACTCAATTCGCTTTAGCGATTAAATACAAAAACAAAAAAATGTATATACTGACTGAGTACGGGTATAAGTAGAGTCGCGTCCCCAGAAGCGTGTGAGTCGCTTCTCGTTTTAAAGTAAAAATTTCAACAAATTTCAATACAACCAATTGTAAGATACTTAAGTTATGTAACAAAAAGAAGTGCTACCTATGAAAAAAGCTTAAACAAAAAGTACCAGATCTAAAAAATTCTTCAAAACAAAGTTCTGCACTGGAAAAAAAATAAATCATCACTAAGCTTGTTTGAAGCCATAAATCTATCAAAAAAGTTGGTCTGGTTCGAAGCGGTGATATCGTGTCGGCTAATGTTATCTACGATTCTGCCTTTTCGATTTACTCGTATCTTCTAAAATTGTGGATGTAATTTGACACGTCAATAGGCTGCTTTCTGCCTGTTACATATGTACATCCTCACGTGATTCTCTTTGGTTACCGGGTATAAATATAATTATAAACTTACTATTTCTTAGTGTATAGGCATCCTTCATTGAGGTTTCTTGCCATTGTTCGACCAATTTAAAAGCCTTGGCTGCCTCACCAAGATTGCGAAAAATCCTGGCTAGTTCCGCGACAGCATTACCTTCCGCGACCTCGTTTAAGTCCTTAAACAAATGTTTGGGTGCATCTGTGGTAGATGAGATCAAATATTAGAGTAGAGTAGTGATGAATTGAATTCGATTATACCCATGATAGTAGAGATCAGATGTGTCTCCAGCTCCTCATAGTTTACCACAAACAAATGATGAATATGATCGCCGACATCCTTCAAGAAGTTACACGTGTCCACGCTACCCATTTCAAGGGTCTTCTGAGTGTTCATTATACCGCGTTCTAGCATACCATTTGAGAGGAAAGCCAGGCCCATGCTAGCACTGTGAAAGAAATTAATTCATTCCAATTTTGGAGAGATCAGAACCATAACCTACGCTATAAATGGAAGGAATAGCATCAAGCAGGTGCCCCAAACACAAATTTTCCTCTTATGTTCACCCGAATGGCAAGCTGGACATCCCAGCTTACAACGATGGCAACAGAAGCAGAAATACAAGACACTGTTTCATGCACAAAAAAATAGATTGTCATTGATGGTCTTGTAAAGAGATACACCATGATGTACTCACCCTGCAAAGGGTGCCAGGACAGCGAGAGCAACCATGAAGATTGTCCATACCCACATAAGCCAGAATGAGTTCAACCAACCCGCCCAATCGTCCTTTATAACCATCGGTCCCAACCTCATGTTATCTTTACCCAAGTCCTTTATGTAGCCTGGATAAATTATTTGATCATTTCACTGTTAACTCTAAATCAACAAAACACTTACCTCTTGGGATGGACGGATCAAGGGGAAACATTTTGTCAAAAAATTTTCGCGAAAGTTTGAAAACAACATCCACCCACAATTTTGTGATATTCTCTCTCTGGGAGTAGTTTGTCGAAGGCACGTACTGTGAGAATTCAACTTCGGCAAAGTGGAGAGAACCCAACTCCTCGTGAGTTGTGCCGTGTCCCGAATATCCTTTGCGCCAATATGAGGGAGGGGGATCATCTTTTGAGCTAGGACTGGCGGTAGTTTCATCAACTCTTGTGACCAGCACAATCAGAAATAAAGCCGCAAAGAGACTGCCGATTGTCGAAGTCCTCTCTATATTTGACTCTCTACGCTTTCTGGCACAATTATCAATGGTTTTAATCACTGACTGCTTAGATTCCGTAATTGTACAATCGGCCATTCTGTCTAGGATTCTGCGGAGAACCTAAAAATGACTTCGTTCAACCATAAAGAAAAGGTTCATGCTCGTATTTAACACTCACCTAGTTTATAAACATATAATCCTAGGATTTAATTAACACTAAATTTTTGCACACTGTGAATTTAACAAAAATTTCCAACTGGTATTGAAATTTTTTCAAAGTATTGTATACTAAATAATTTTTTTCGTTTAAAATTTATTTGAATCAAATCTTAGTATGAGAGTTAAGTCAGAAACTACGGAAATACCAAAAGTGTTCTGTCAGTTTTTTCTCATAGCCTCCTACCTTTCCTTGTTTGCAATGTTTGCAAAATAAACTGGAATAAATTCTCGTGCCATTGAATTATGCGACCCTGGGCGGGCATTATACATCGTGATATATTACTATTATATATTTACATTAATCAGCGTTAAGCGGCCTCACTAATTGACATATCATAGGCGTCATCGTTTTAACGTTTAATTATACAAGGGCCCGGCTTCTTTACTCCTTTAATCTGTTCACTGTGGCCATAAATCATGTAGCCAAATGGAAAAATGAAACGGCCAACCTGCTGGCAGCACAAATGCAGCGCTTAACATGACACTTACATACATCGCTATTCTATTGTGAGTTTTTTTCTTTTTTTGTTCTAGGGATAATTGCTTTTGCAGGTGTAGCTTGTCAATTCTTCACTAAACAATTCGGCGGCTACTCTCGAATTCTGTTTGGCTCATCATTAAATTATTTTCAACTTCGTTTCACAAATGAATGATAAAGCTTAGAACAAGCTTTTGCCATTTGTGAGTAGCTTTCGCTCAGAGCACAATTCTCAATTCCCTGTGGACAGCCTTTGGATTCCTTTTCCCACAAGTCACAGGAACAAAACAAAACTCCCAACGACCCAATTAAGAATAATATTTTTGCAATGGTTTCTGGAATTCTAAACAAGAAAAATTCCATAAACTCTTTAACTTTTCTCGGCTTGCTTTCATTACGCATATTTTCCTCAGTTGTTTGCCACAATAGTTGACCAGAAATTCTAATGCCCAAGAGCATTGACAAGTCGGCCCAGAAAATGTCTTTTATTTGAATCTATATTTATATATTTTAAAGCAAAACGTGTTGCAGCATTTTTGAAATCATTTGTGGAATTTTTAAGCCGCTCAGAACTGCCACCAAAGTAAAAACGAAAAAAAAGATTAATGCAAAAAAAATTATGCCAAACGAGCGTTTTTTGTGTACAAGGAGCTCACGGTGTATGAGTGATGCTTCCTTCTGACCAAAAAGTGGGAAACTGAGAGAAAGTGTGTGCCGGGCCGATGGAGTTGAATAAATTACGGTTGGCACGCTGATGAACTGCATCCTTGTGCCGCTTGCTACCGTTCAAACAACGCCACAATTGGCAATTAAGTTTTGTTGCTGAAACTCTCCAGAAAACTGACCAAAGTGTGCTTCTTTGCAATTTTAATAAGCTGTCAGGTGCCATACAAGGTGAATGACGGCCATTAAAACTGGCAAAAGATTTTAAGCCTATTTATTTAGTTGAAATGACGGCACTTTATATAGACCGCTTTTGATGGCCGCCGAGGACCATAATAATTTATATTTATATATATTGTTAATAGCCCTGTTTAATATTGGAAAAGGTGTCGATCGAAATTAAACTTTGGGGTTTTCTTTGATCGAACTAATATGTCTATCTACAAAATTCCGACCCACTTTCTTACATGTAGCATGAATATCTTATATATAAACATGTTCTAAAAAAGTATCCTAAAAGAGTCCTGCTTAAAGAAGGAATGCAGCTTTAACTTTCGTTTATTTATAAGAACTAAATCCAATTACATGCGATTCTCTGATTGTTTTACTTTGCAGCTGGCCGTGACATATCCAACAAAGGTGTTATATCTCCATCCCTTACTGAGAATGCAGCCGTTGAATGAAAATAGTCTCGCTGACAGCTCACTAGATTGCCGGGGGCAAGCGCTATGATGTCAGGTGGATCGATATACATACGTATATGCAATACATATGCATGTATGTACATGTAAGTAAATTATACAGAAGCCCTATTTGGCCACCCAATGCAATCATCACTGCACGGCGAAGACGGGAAGACACGAGGGTCCCAGGCACACAGGTAATATCTTTATGCCGGCTCCGTGACGATGCTCCGTATGGATGAGGTAAAAAATTAATATAAATTCCGACACTTCAGCAAAAGGAAAACACTCGCTTCTGATTTCCTCTGGTGACTGACATGCATTAAACATTGGCACCTTCGTGCTGGGGCTGGCTTGGCTGCAGCAAGTTAATCAACTTTACGCACTCGCATTATACGGGAAAAAGTTTAATTAAAAGCTTAATTAATGAACAAAATAAGCGGCACAGGATGGGATGAATGTGAATGGCTGTAAGGACATGGCGTGTGGCCTGTCAACCCTTCGGCGCTACTGCCACGCACATGCTAGCAATTAAAATTAAAATTTTATGCTAAACCAAGTAGCAAGCCAAGGCAGCAAGGCGAATCATTCGCATTCACCGCATCAGGGACATACTAAAATACTAATCTTAGATTTTATGAATACCTTTGCATAGTACCATTAATTAATATTAATAAGGCATTTGCATGCAATTATACGTGTAAAACTTTGCAACGATTATCCCAACAAATATACAAAATTTAAGAGCGTTTTACAGATTTAGACGAGCATATACGATAGAAGTTTGCTGTTTGACCCCAATCATTGATGAAATCATTTCTCCTATACCTTTTTTTTTCCGAATGCTCCACGGGGAATTGCCACATCACAGTGTATTTATCTGCTAAATAAATTCTCGAAATTCCTGCATCTTGTGTGGGTATGTATGTATATGTATCTGGGCTTAAGTCTGTCAGCATTGGGATAGACAAAAAACCAAACGCAAAGAAAACGAAATAGAGAACAGCAGTTGGAGAAAACTTCAAGGCCTGCACTGCTCGTACTTTGACATTTTTGTGTACATTTGCACGGATATTGAGTCCGACCTGAAATTGAGCTGGATCAGTATCGGTATCAGGAGCTCCTGCATCTGTTCACCTCGGAGACATGCACCCAACGGGCCCCCCTGTCCTGTGTTTTCCCGTTTCATTTCGGCAAAAGTTTTTGCCCACAAACACAACTAGCTACTCGTATACTCGGTAGAACAAAGCTAATTTTCCTGCCTGTTCCTGAGGTCAGGCTTGGGTCTTTCATACTCGGTACTCGAATAGATTAAGGGTGTATTAGTTATATGTGTAAGAAGGCTGGGTCGCGCACACAAGTGCAGACCTCCCAGAGAGAGCTGAGATCAGAGAGAGTAAAGAGGAGATCGCGAGAACGTCAGCCGACGCCGCTCAGAGGCCTCTCGCCATTCCGTGGTCAGTCGTCGTTTTCGTCAGTCGTAAATAAAATCAGTCGTACTTAAATCAGATGTCTTTCGCTTATAAAAACATATCTAGCAAAGCTGTATACATTACTTATATATCTTCTTAATAAACATACATTTAAATACAACCTTTCACATATGTATGTATTATAAGTATTAATTACTTAAATAACATTTTCCGCCATTTGATGTTTTTGTGTCGTATTTTGTCCATTTCCTCTCGCTGGATGTGTGTTATCCCAAACCTTATTATTTGGATTATTTGGTGATTTTCTGAGAAGGAAAAGATTTCGTTTTTTGTTGTGCAAATCTGGAATTATTGCATTGCGGCTGACTGAGCTGACTGTAGCACAGCGCTCAGTGGATTCATATCTTGAGAGCATATCTGCATTCAAGAGAGTGGACAATTTAAAGCCCCATGAATAATCGAGATCGGTTCCGATTCAACTGCCATTTTTAGGTACCTTTGATTATGGTGTTATGAGTCATAACTTGGTTTGCTAACAGAGTAGCTGCAAAAATAGAGATAGCCTTATGGGAAATGCCTGCAGTCAGAGCGAGATAAATATATGCGGCCCGTTGGCTTCTAGTTGAGCTGGCAGCAGCGCTGCGGCAGAATTGATCGGCTATTTTACTTTGCGGATACAATTTTGCTGGCTTGGTGGCTGTGTATGGTGAAAAACATAATTTTTTCTCAAGTAGTGCCTCAGTTGTGCGAATGAAAGCCAGTAGACGTGTCTAGAGACTGCTACGAACACTAATTTTGCAATTTGTCTCTAATGCTATTTCTCTATACGCAGTAAATGTATTCAAAGACTAGTGTCCAATCAACATTAACAACAGAACTCATCCGCAAGATAAATGATCTGGTAATCCATTTTTTTTTTTTAAATATCGGTTATCATTATTTAAATAATTAACTGAAATTTAATAAAGTTCGCCTTTTGGTATTTTTTAGGTCATACTTTTTCGGCTAGTCTGGTAACACTTGAATTAACATTGCCAGCAATTGTGAAATATAATTCATTTGTCTCGCTTTTATTAATAAAAATTATATAAAGTAAATACGTCATCAGAACATATTTAACGACATGGAGGACACCAATGACAAGGTAAATGATTTGATTGCAATCAATATAAACACTTCTAAAGAAAACCGGGCCGACTATCCACCATTGCAGCAGGCGCAGCAAAAGGAGAACGAGCTTGGGAAGATCCCCTCTCAGGAGTTGAAAACCGACGATCTTGCAAGTCACCAAGACCAACGTGATAAAAAACTAAAGATTGACATGCAACAGGAGAAGATTATCGTAGATGAGCCCAAGATGGTAGACAAATCGACGCAGCTGACCGTGCAAAAGCTTCAACAGCAAATCGAGGAGCTTGAGAACAACCGTAAGCTGTTACTGAATCGACTTGCAGAAGTAAAATCACACAATGTAAAGATTCAGAAGAAAGATAACGAGGTTCAGCCTCAAAACTCTCAAGTGGACCAGACTGCTACTGAAGTTAATCAAATTCTAAAACAGTTGGAACAGCAGATCTCCAAAACTGCGACCCTAGAAGATAATCTTGAAGAGCAGGACAAATCCAATAAATTAATCATTGAGGAACTAGGACAGCAAATTGCAGAGCTTGAGGAAGACCATAGACTTTTTCGTAGTGAGCTCGATGAGAAGGAACATGCATACCTAGAGGAAATAGACGATCTGCAGGAAGAAGTTGATGATCTTTATATTAATATTACCTGTTCCATTTGCCAATCTCCCTGGACATCTGATGGGGAACATCGCCTAGTTTCGTTGTACTGTGGACATCTATTTGGGAAAGAATGCGTTCAGCGGCTCGCCGAATGCCCAACTTGCGGATCGGAAATTCGTTCAACAGGTGTGCGGCCCATCTTTGGTCGCAACATCTTGCCAGCTAATTAGGTTTTCCGGCATACTACTTTATAACCGTTTAGTCAATAAGTACAACTTGAGTCGTGAAGAAACCTACAACAATGCATTATTATGATAAACTGGAAGAAGTTTAATCAAAATATGTTATGTTTTTTTTTTGCCCAGTCGTTTGCCCATGTTACTTTCATTATAATTTTTACATTTCCTTACCTATCGGCAAAATAAAAGCACAAGATACACGATTCTGTTCATCTCTTCCATTTATTTACAGGAAAATTTTGCCATGAATATTCTTTAATTAATTAACTGAAATTTAATGTAGTTCGCCCTTTGGTATTTTTCAGTTGATATTTTGTACGCTGGTCTGGTAACACTTGAAAATAAAATTGCCAGCAATTGTGAAATAAAAATCATTTGTCTCGCTTTTATTAACAAATACTCGCATTAAATAAAGTAAACTCGTCATCAGAACATATTTAAAGATATGGGGGATACCAATGATAAGGTAAATGATTTGATTGCAATCAATGTAAACACTTCTAAAGAAAACCAGTCCGTCGCACTGCCATTGCAGCTGGCGCAGAACAACAACTCGCAAATGGAAGACGCTACAACTGAAATTGTTGGAATTAACTATCTGTTGGAAAAGGAGAAGCGCAATCAGGCGACTTTGCTTGAAAAATTGAAAACGCACGACCAATCGACACAAGTGACCATCCAGAATCTTCAGCAGAAACTCTATGAGCTTCAGAAGGGCCGTGAGCTGTTGCTTAATCAACTTGTGGAAAAGGAACTTTCATACAAAATCGACACGGAAGAGCTGAAGGCAGTTCTAGATGATCCTGGTGACGACCATACTTGCATTATCTGTCTATCTCCTTGGGAATCGACTGGGCCTCATCGTGTAGCCTCGCTGCCCTGTGGACATCTATATGGGATGTCCTGCATAAGACTATCTGTACGCCGAACGGAATTCTGCCCGAAGTGCAGAGTCCCAGCACGTTATTTTGATATACGCTTCGTCTTGCCCGATATTCGCCCAGAATAAATAATACGTTTTGCTGGGTTCTATTTAAATTGTCAATTTGGCAAACCTTTTGTTATGATTAAAAGATTATTATAATAAAGAACTTAAAATTCAAATGCGATTATCTATTCAAACAGGTGCGAGTGTATGCATACATATGTACATATGTATGTGTGTACACACTCAAGATGTTTAGGTATATGAATTGGCAGAAACGTTAGTCAACACTTTCGCCGCCTTTTTTTTGTTGTGTTTTTTTGTAGCAAATTTACAGTTGGTGTGATAAGCCTTTTGTTGATTCGCGCATCTATCTTTTTAAACGCTTAAAGCTCTTACGCATTGCTAACGGGGAAGGATCGAAAATAAAAATTGTAAGCCAAAGAATTTTGATTAAATTAAATTAAATAAATAAATAAATAATAAATCTGCATTGAATGGTGGTAAGGGGTTAATGACTTCTCCTTTAGAAATGGAATTCTAGCAATAATGCATTATTTATTTGCGCCATCAACTAGTCAATACTACATTTAAGATTACAATACTTCAGTCTATTTTTCACACATTGAAAAATTGCGCACCCAAGACGATGAAACTGATAAGTAATTTCAGCATCACAAGGAACTTGTGTCGGGAAATAAATGGAATAATCAATTTTCAGTTTTCGTTCTAGCCAAATCGTGTCAATGTTTTCTAACTTGCCTCCCTTCACAACACATATTTTTCTTGGGTATGTAAATATTTTATTTCATTTTTCCTTTTCTTTCTTCTTATGTTTTGATATGCAAATGATATGTGTGGTAGAAAAGGGCAGCCCGATTATAATATACATGCTTAAATCTACTTGATTCCAACAATCATGCACATGGACGAGTACATATACATACATACATACGTACATACATACGTAGATATGCGTAGTTTTTGGAAACCCCTTTGAACCTCAAGCCGCAAAACATGGAACGGTAAACTCTGTTTTCGGATTTGGCAGCTCGAAAATTGTATAAAAATGCTACTCGCAAACATTAAAGCCTAACGGAATGGGGCTCCACGAATGGGCATGAGAGGGAGAGAAAGAATACCGAGTATAATAAATAAACTCTGGAGGAATTCCAATTCCTTGGGGCGTTCATCAAAGCAAAATCTATATCAATCATACGCACACAAACGCATCCACAATCGTATCTGTATCTATTTGATGGCGAATTGAAACATTGTATAAAATATTGGCCTGGCAAACCCATGAATGGTCATGGCCCCTACGCCCACAATCCAACAAACTACCCACTCGGCAAATTGCCCTTAAAAATAAAACACACACTTGAGGCTGGGCCAAATAAAAAGTGGATTAAATTCAAGGGAAGTTCGCAGAAGCTATTTCTGGGACCACAAAAATAGCAATTGTGCTATCGTTTTCTGGTGACCCAACTTTAAAAATGTTTCGGCAGACAAAAGGGAAACAGTGGAGCGTGACATTGCTGGAAACGTATGCGGCGGAAAATGAAGTCATTATTTCAAGGTAAGTCACGTGGTCGCGATGCTGGCAACCGCCCTTGAGTCCCAGCTCCCTCCGCAGCCCCATTCTCACTCTGGCCAAAAATCAAAGTCACACTTCACCGCTCCCGCAGTCACGGTTGTGTTTCTTACCCTTTCGAGCTGACGGTCTTTCCCCGTCTCTCCTCTTTGGCAAAGTGTCAACGGCAGTCGTGCGTCTCCATCTCGGCCACAGCAATGCATCGTGTCCTCTGGATGCCCGACTCTTGACTGCTGTCTCGCACAGTAAAAGAAGCAATAGAAAACAGCAGTATCGATGGTGGGTCGAATTCTGTGTACTCCAGTCGGAATTTAGAGCAATAGGTTTTCATATATGGTATGATCTAATATTCCTAATTCTCGGATATGGTCTAAACCCTGCATGAAAGATTTTTACTCCAGGAAAATATGACTTTTCATTGGACATTGTCCTGGCATTAGACTTGTAAGAGCGAACTATCTCTATGGGATTCATTTGCATAAAGCGGGAACTTGACCTATAATACGAGTATATACTCGTATGATTACAGGGTACGACAACGTGCCACAGAATAATCTTCCCTTTGGCTTCCTGTCTGCTCTTTGCTGCCACCAAGACCGGGCTGACAATGACATTTACACTTCAGCTGCTGCTTTGCCTAAACTTATGGTAGATGATGGATGAAGGAACGCCACGTTGACGCTTCTTTTGCTCGGTTTAGCATAACTTTTTCAGCATTTAGCTCATTAAGCATACAACAGTTATTATCATCATTAACCTGACAATATAGAAGGGATTGTTCGGGAAAGGAACTTGATGAGGGTTGTCATACGGCCCCTGGCTTTTCGTTGGTTCATTTCAGTTTCATGTATACTTTCATTGCTTTGAAGGGAAAAGACTTTTGGTATTTTCAATGGTCAATTAGTTGAATCCTCATTTTAGGTAGAGAAACTTGGCGCAGAGACCGCCAAATGAAAATTTTAATAATGCAAATCCTTTGCTGTACCTGGCGGCTTGTTGCATGCAACCCGCAGATGCAGCCACCTGGCTACCTCTCTTGTCCACACTGTGCAGGCCGCCTTTGGCCATGTGCCATCATCGGCTTGTCGTTTTCAGTTTTAACGTCTGCCCGGGCCTCGACACAACAATGCCCCAAAAAACCGACCAACCAAGCCTCCAACAACGAGCGCAGACTTAATTGAATTGTGTTTACTCCATGGGACAGAGCCTCAGCCCCAGTCAGCGGAGTTACGATGTTATTTTGGGGCACCTATTTTTCTGGCGCATCCTCAACAGGGCAACAGGCCTTCATCAAAAAACCATTTAAGACTGAACATCATTTTCCATTTTGATTATAATAATTTTAAGTTAAATATTCAGGAGTGATGTTTCTTTTGGTATCTATGAAAACATACATTAAAAAATACCCCTGAATCCAAATGGAAATCGAGCAAATCCATTGAAAGTTTCGGATATTGGATTATTAAATTAATTACAAAGTTCTAACTACAAACAATGCAGCGTGAGGCACATTGTGGCAAAGTTTTGAGCAGACTTTCTGAATATTAAATGCGGGAATTCAAGATTCAACAAAAGCGAAAAGTTGTTAAGCTAATTGTTAGAATAATTAGCCTAATTAGCGGGCAGGTAAGCTTCCAGGTACCCAAATCAGTTCAGACATCGGTCCTCAGCTCCACTAATAGCTTTGCTTTTCTCCTAGTGGGAACCGATTGTCTGGTCTATCCGCTTGTTTCAATTACAGACTTTTTTATGCTCGTATTTATGGGGACAAAGTGTATCGCAATCCTAGTTGCCTAATGCGTCAAGTGGCCGCAGGATATTTCCTCCTCCCGGAGGACTTACCACTCTGTGTAGAGTAATTTTAAGCGCGTGCGAAATGCAAAAGTTTTGCCAAGTGCGCAGTGCGCCGATAAAAAGTTTCGATTATAATGGAAATTTTATGGCTTGCAGCAGAGACGGTCCTGGCTGGGGAAATGGAATGCTTGATTCTGAGGGAGCATAAATCGAGGACAGAATGCCGCAATTTATTTGAAAGCCAAAAGAAATTGTTTTAAATTGTTATTTAACAGGGGTTGTACTGGGAAACCAGAAATTACTTTAAATTTGTGATAAACAAATGTAGATGTAATCGCACACAAGTTCTTGTAAAGTTTACAAGACTTTGTAAATAACATAATTTCCCATTTATCGTATTAGAAATTGTTTCCAGCTTAGAAATGAGTTAAGCGCATAAATTAAACTTGATTGAACTATAACAATCAAAGAAAGGTTATTTATTTCTAAAGAAAAGGTAGGATATTGCCTTTATATATTAATTTTTCCTATCTTTGAATGTGGACTTACTCTGCATTCAAAGGCCTTCTATTTTTTCTATATTTTTACCAATCAATGAACCAATGCAAGTTTCTACTTCTAAATAAAATCACTCATACTCCACGGAGCACAACAAACAGCAGCCTTAGTTAACTCAAACATTACACTCAAATTTCAGCGTAACAGAAAACGGCTAACATCACTCAAATCACTCAAACCTAACAGCCTCAGCCTCAAATCCCTTTAATGATGAACAACGACCGTTGTTATGGCATGGTACGAGTATATGACAAACAATCGCTTCATTGTTTGAACATAAAGTTCATTTTGTGCTTAGTTTTTGTGCCACAAATGGAACGTGATCATTAATTTAACTGCTCTTTTACCTTTAGCAAAGAACAATAAAGAATAGTTGTTCGAAATACTTTGTCGACTTTCGATTTATGGCCCTGCAATTGCCCCGCGAATAATGCCATCGTATACAGAAATATACAACCAAAATGTCTCAATTTACTCGCTTGCTGTAAATTAAAGCTCAGACATATATGAATGTATATATCCCACTAAAAATAAATTTAGTTGGTGCCGAAATTTAGTTAGGTGGTAGCCACGCCTCCATATGGAAACCCATTAACTACTACGCTACTCAACATAATGACAAAACTTTTACACGTGCAACGGACAAAGTTTTGTGGCAATCATTTTAATTTTTATGATCTACAGTAGCAAAAAAACTAAAGCCTTACACAGTTGTGTTATGTCCCGTCCGATTCCTCCTTCTGCGTGGGGTCCTAGCATGTCTCCTTGGATTCGTATTGGTGTCCCTTTCTCGGAGTTTGTGTTTCCCTCCCTATATATCCCTCTCCTTGAGCGCCACCAAACATATCTTTCTCTAAGGGGAAAGGGACTCGAACAACTCACTCTCTCTCCATCTGTGTCTCTGCGTGGCATTAGTTTTAATGCCGCTCTGACAGGTTTATGAGCCTGTGTGTGCGAGTGTGTTCAATAGCTGGGACACCGCATGCGCCACATACTCCACGTGCGATTGCTCACATTTGAAGTGTTAAGACCACCTTTGTAGGTACATTACGTCGCTCACTTCAAATGGAATGTTTTCTCATGCGCTAAAATTAAGCGCGACTTTATCAATTTTTTTTGCATGCCTTCATGCATTCATTATTTACGCATTTAATTTGTCTGAAAAGGCAAAACACTTAAAAACAGCAATCATCCGTCGCACAGTGGTTGGTTGATAGCTTGAAAATCGTGGGTTTAATTTGAACACTTAAACTTTTTTAACTTTTTCAAAATAAAATACTTTGGACTACTAAATAATAATTATTAAATACTAAAGTTTAATTTTTTTTAAGGTGCAAATGTTGTTTTCTTCGCATGGGAACTTTAGAAATTAACGTTTTTTATGATATCTCTGAGCCAAGATGTTCTATGGCCATCATAAAAAACACATCAGAAAACAATTTGTATGAATACACATGTGAAAATCAATAAAAGTCGCACGATTCGTGTATACAAATATATTCCACAACTGGCATATGAAATGGCAACTTGTCAAAGGAAAGAGAAACATATTTATGTATAGGAGATATGGAGAGACCCGATATGAAACAGGAAAGGGAAGTTAGGCAAAGAGGAAGCGGCATTTAAACACTTTCCGGTCCAAAAAGAAGCGGGGCTTAATGAAGCGCAAAATGGGCCCAACAATAAGTCCAAATGTGTCTCCAAAATGTTTTTTGGCAATCTAATCAATAAAAGTGGATATACATATGTATGTATGTATATTTGAATACCGATGAAAGGCAGGAAGTTCAAAGCTCAATGAAATGCATTGATATGTGAAATAATTTGACGTTTGATTTTTAGATTAAATTAAACGGGCGCAGGAAGCTGCTCTAAATATTTCCATACCCCTTGAAGTGGGTGGAAAAATGGTGACAGATTCGATTGATGAATGAAATAAGTGAAATGGTTTCCAGGCGAAATTAATAACCATTTAATCTAAAACTAGTGAGAGAATAAAAAACTTATAATTCTGTGAGAGCTGTGATTAATATAAATTATACTTAAGTCCTTCCATATCGTCACCACCTGAAAGAAGAAGCTTATCCACTGTCAATTGCGATTTTCAAGTTGATTGATACAGCTAAGGCATAAAAAATAGCACCATGACACTTAATTTTCTATTTTAACGGATTTTGTTTAAACAGTGGTATTAATGAACGGATTTAGAATGTATGTATTTTCATTTGTCCAAAGTCACGACCCACTCGGTCCTACGCTTCCTTTTTTCTGGCTGGTTTTTCCCCAAGTTTTAAAGGTCTGTTGAACAATCTTTGCACTTCAAGTTCGACTTAATCGATACTCGATTGAATGAGAGTGGACAGGACTGAACTACTGCTTTGAATTGCTGATAAACGCTGGAATATAAATTCCAAGCCATGACCGTAAAAATCAAAAGCTTTGCTGTAAAAATGTGTTTATATCCTTACTGAACATACAGCATCGATACAAATCATTGCAATGCGCTGCATTTGCCATTTTTGCTGCTGACGGCAAACCCAATTTATGTGATTTTTATTTGCTCGAGCTTTTCTTTTTTGGCAATGCACTTAGCTTACCCTGTAGCCTCTGCTGGCCTAGCGTCGGCACTCGACTGGCAAGTGGATCAAGCAGAGCAGAGCAGCGTGCAGCCAAGGGGAGAGATGCGAAAGGATGCAGCTCTGGGGCATGAGTATTTGTGCAGTAAATGAGCCGTGCAGCCGAGTCGGGGAAACGGATGCTGAATGCTACTTGACTTTTATGGCTCTCCGGGAGAATCACCTGCAGTCCTTGCGCTTCATTAGCCATTAATTTGGGGCGGGCTGTACACAAAAACCACTCAATGTCTGGGCGTGGACGACATGGAACGGCAGCTTATGGCGGAACTAGCATTAAATTTTGGCATGTCTGCTATGCTCGAATTAACCTCGCGAAGAAATCTCATCGAATAAGCAGAAATGTCGGTGTGACTTGGCCAATATGTGCAGCGGAAAGTTCCATCGCATCTGGCTGGTCAAGCAGAAACTGTGTAGACAGCTGCAAGAGCGAAGCCACAGTGGGGCAGTATCAAAATAGAAAAGGAAGTACCTATGTATGAACATATCTAGAAACAAAATCGACTCAGAGGTGTGAGATATGGGATGTTAGTTCTAGGAAGATATTATAATACATAGTTCGTATAATAATTGTAGGTGTCGGGTTTCCCGCGATATTCAGTCGTCTAATCCTTAATTTATAGCCAAAATTAAATCATCACCATTGTTAGTTATTGGCACTACACACTGTACACAAACATTGTTCTCGCATATGATTACGCACGGCAGTGGCAGTTCTTTCGTCTGTCTATACCTCCGTCTTCGCTTTGTTGTTGCAGTTACAGCATCTAAGCTGGTCTTTCGCTTTCTAAATGACTTTCGTGCTTAGCTTATCATCTGACCGAGCTGCTTTCTTTCTATCGCTTTCTCTCGCTCTCTTCTAAGATGTTCTGCCTAGGGCAAGGGCAATTCGGGCCGTCCGACCTGCAGTTAGTCTCGCGCTCATCGACAGGTACATAACATAATTACCTACATACATACATGCGCCTACTTTCGCTTTCCATCAATAAATTGAGTATTTTAAATCGAACCACCAGCCTTAAATAATCAACAGCTATTAAAAAGGCTAAGTAGCTTTACAGTAGGTTTTTGCAGGTAATGGTTTAATAAAAAGAGTAACGTAGTTTAATATTCAACTATTTATTTATTATTTTTTTAATCTTTTCTTCCGACTTGTCACAACAAACGAGCTGAGAGAGAGAGAGAGAAACCAGCAAAAAGCCAGCAGATCAGTAATACACGCACACATTGCTGTATACAATAGTTGTCCCGCTCTAACCCTTTAGTACACATTGATTCCCTGATCGTTTTGCACATTCAGGAACACACATGCAATACTATAAAGCGTATGTATTGTATGATGCAATAGTTAGAATTATTGCGTCAGAAATTTCTACTGCGTTGATTTTGCTACATCAACTGTTCTTGCTACTGCAAAGGCAACAATAACGAATAATACATATATCAAATAATAATGATGTAGTTCTTTGGCTCTTCGTAGACAATGAATATACATATGAATTAATTCTACATCACCATTTCTGCAAATTACACTACAAAAATAAATAAATCAATAAGTGTTGACTAATGTTCCTGCACATTCATATAGGCATACATATGTATGTATGTTCTTCATTTTAATAATCTTTTAATCATAACAAAAGGTTTGCCAAATTGACAATTTAAATAGAACCCAGCAAAACGTATTATTTATTCTGGGCGAATATCGGGCAAGACGAAATAACGTGCTGGAACTCTGCACTTCGGGCAGAATTCCGTTCGGCGTACAGATAGTCTTATGCAGGACATCCCATATAGATGTCCACAGGGCAGCGAGGCTACACGATGAGGCCCAGTCGATTCCCAAGGAGATAGACAGATAATGCAAGTATGGTCGTCACCAGGATCATCTAGAACTGCCTTCAGCTCTTCCGTGTCGATTTTGTATGAAAGTTCCTTTTCCACAAGTTGATTAAGCAACAGCTCACGGCCCTTCTGAAGCTCATAGAGTTTCTGCTGAAGATTCTGGATGGTCACTTGTGTCGATTGGTCGTGCGTTTTCAATTTTTCAAGCAAAGTCGCCTGATTGCGCTTCTCCTTTTCCAACAGAAAGTTAATTCCAAAAATTTCAGTTGTAGCGTCTTCCATTTGCGAGTTGTTCTGCGCCAGCTGCAATGGCAGTGCGACGGACCGGTTTTCTTTAGAAGTGTTTACATTGATTGCAATCAAATCATTTACCTTATCATTGGTATCCCCCATATCTTTAAATATGTTCTGATGACGAGTTTACTTTATTTAATGCGAGTATTTGTTAATAAAAGCGAGACAAATGATTTTTATTTCACAATTGCTGGCAATTTTATTTTCAAGTGTTACCAGACCAGCGTACAAAATATCAACTGAAAAATACCAAAGGGCGAACTACATTAAATTTCAGTTAATTATTTAAAGAATATTCATGAATTCAAGAATTTTCCTGTAAATAAATGGATGAGATGAACAGAATCGTGTATCTTGTGCTTTTATTTTGCCGATAGGAAAGGAAATGTAAAAATTATAATGAAAGTAACATGGGCAAACGACTGGGCAAAAAAAAACATTACATATTTTGATTAAACCTCTTCCAGTTTATCATAATAATGCATTGTTGTAGGTTTCTTCACGACTCAAGTTGTACTTATTGACTAGACGGTTATAAAGTAGTATGCCAGAAAACCTAATTAGCTGGCAAGATGTTGCGACCAAAGATGGGCCGCACACCTGTTGAACGAATTTCCGATCCGCAAGTTGGGCATTCGGCGAGTCGCTGAACGCATTCTTTCCCAAATAGATGTCCACAGTACAACGAAACTAGGCGATGTTCCCCATCAGATGTCCAGGGAGATTGGCAAATGGAACAGGTAATATTAATATAAAGATCATCAACTTCTTCCTGCAGATCGTCTATTTCCTCTAGGTATGCATGTTCCTTCTCATCGAGCTCACTACGAAAAAGTCTATGGTCTTCCTCAAGCTCTGCAATTTGCTGTCCTAGTTCCTCAATGATTAATTTAGTGGATTTGTCCAGCTCTTCAAGATTATCTTCTAGGGTCGCAGTTTTGGAGATCTGCTGTTCCAACTGTTTTAGAATTTGATTAACTTCAGTAGCAGTCTGGTCCACTTGAGAGTTTTGAGGCTGAACCTCGTTATCTTTCTTCTGAATCTTTACATTGTGTGATTTAACTTCTGCGACTTCTGCAAGTCGATTCAGTAACAGCTTACGGTTGTTCTCAAGCACCTCGATTTGCTGTTGAAGCTTTTGCACGGTCAGCTGCGTGGATTTGTCTACCATCTTGGGCTCATCTACGATAATCTTCTCCTGTTGCATGTCAATCTTTAGTTTTTTATCACGTTGGTCTTGGTGACTTGCAAGATCGTCGGTTTTTAACTCCTGAGAGGGGATCTTCCCAAGCTCGTTCTCCTTTTGCTGCGCCTGCTGCAATGGTGGATAGTCGGCCCGGTTTTCTTTAGAAGTGTTTATATTGATTGCAATCAAATCATTTACCTTGTCATTGGTGTCCTCCATGTCGTTAAATATGTTCTGATGACGAATTTACTTTTTTTAATGCAAGTATTTATTAATAAAAGCGGGATAAATGGTTTTTATTTCACAATTGTTAGAAAGCTACTTTAAAACGCTAAGAACTTGTGTTGGGTAGTTCATGAACGAACTAACAAAAAAGAGCTAGTCGCTGTTCTGAACTGAAAAAGTTTATCTAAAATTTAGATACTAAATAGTTATTTTTTGTTCATCGTTCGTTGTTGTTTGCTGTTTTTACTCTAGTATGTCAAATAAAATTATTCTAATAAATAAATCTAAATATAATACCAATAATAATAAGAACGAAAGAAATTAATCAGCAAATTAAACTTTGTTTACCCAGCCCTGCATTAAAACATCACAAATTTTTGGTGTGGATTCACTGTAAATTTAAAAACAATTAGTCTTCTGTCAATCATGTTGATTTCAAAATTAAATGTATTCACGTGAACACAATGAAGTGCAAATACGATTGAAAGTTGGTAAGAGCTGGTTAGGAGACCGCTGGCTATTTGCTTTAAGTTTCCACAACAGTTTTTGAAAGATCTATCAAAAAGTTCGAAACTCGAAGATGAGTCGATCGAAAGGACAACTGGGCGATATCTGCCTTGAGGCTCAACGACGGAAACATCGACTTCTTTATGATAACTGTATACTGTACGACTGCGACCAAGTCGCCAGCTCATATGTAGTTCTGTCTCAAACCACTTTCCATCTTTCAGAAGCCGCAACCAAACGCCCAGGAAAACGCACAGCGATCATCTCTTGGCAAACGAATCAAAACAAGGCAAAGGTTCGGGTAAGTTATAAGCAATTGGAATACTTTATTTGAATATCTATGCACTGGCTGCTTGGGCGTGTGTGTCCCATACATGTGGGTGGCTGGGCCTGGGCTAATGTCTATACTTAGGATCTACATACACAACTACTTTGACTTGCGCTGTCGCCGCTGGCTCCGGGAGCGCAGCATCTTGTTCTCGTCGGCGCACTTCGTAGTGATCGCTGTGCGAACCTCACGCGGTGTCATGTCCAGAGTATTGGTCATCAGATAGACAAGGTCCGCCACCTTGAGCGGATCCAGTTGCTGTTTGCTGGGACGAGCGCAGTCCCGGAAGGCCGGTGACGGTTTGCCGGATAGCGTGTGGTGGGCAAGAGTGTCGCGGTCAAAGATCTCGCAGAGCAATTTTCTGGTTATGGAGGGACCAGTCATGTCCCAGTTAATGGCACTCAGACTGCTGCGCGACACTTGAGTGCCGTTTGGACCAATCATTACCATCGGCGAGCTCGGATGCTGATCGAACTCAAAGTCGGGGCACATACGCTTTGCATTTGGGGTGGACGTCACGGGCTTCTTGATGCGCTTGCGTTTTGTGCTGTTCTCACTGTCGGGCACGTAGTCTTCATCATCGTCATCGATTCCTAAATCCTCGTCATTGGTCCTGGGTGTGGATGTGTTGTGTTCCTCAGTCCCATCGCGGAACATCTCAAAGTGGGACGTACGTTGCGCATCATCCCGGTCCATTGCCTGAACCTTCTCAATCTCGATGGTGAGCAGATCCAGGGCCTTGCGCTTGTTCCGCTCCCATTGCTGCAGCAACTTGAGTTTCACCTCATTCACCGCCTTGATGGTGCTCTTCATCAGGATCTCCTGGTCTGCATCTGACGAGGCTGTCTCCCCATCGATGGCCAAGTCGTCATCAAACTGTTCCTCCTCGCCTTGTTGGGTCCTCAGCAGTCTCTCGGCAGCCAGCGTCAGGGTAGCCAATGTGCTCAGTTTTCCAATATCGGACAGCTCGATATCGTGCATGGTGTTGTCCACAAAAGTATCGGTCTCGGCATCTTTCAGGCGGCGCATCTTCCCGTCGTCACTCTCCTCCTCGGTTAAGGAGTCGTCTGTCCGCAGACGAGCGATGATTTCCTCCACACTTTTCTGCTCTGGCGACAGCTGCACCGTCATTGGGTCATAGGGCAGCAGGGTGAGAGCAAATTCCAGTCGTTGGCGGCGATTCATCTAAAATGGAAAGATTCGTTAGTTGAGTTATCCATTCGAGGCGTCCTATATCTCTTACTCTGTACTGTTTGGTGGCCAATTGTGAACTGTATTCTAGCTAATAAGTGACTCCTTTATATATGATGCCGAGCGCACCCTTCGCCTTGACAGGTAGATCGCAAAGGGTAATAACTTGACATATGCTTTCTCTTGCAGATGGCGAGGCGTCCGAACTACGGACCTGCAGGTCGGATTTCATCCGCCTACCTGCCGGTGCATCGCCAAGCAGCTGCACAACGAATACAGATGGTCTCGACCACAAGAAGCAGCCCTGCAACCCAACCAAAACCATTGCTAACCAGCCGATTGCCGACGAACTCGTTGCATATCCATGCAGCAAGCCATGTAGCTACACACCGAGTGACGACAATATGCAGCCTTCTAACGAAGCCTCAAATTCAACGCATGGCGTGGCTCCCCAGAACGCCAGTGCTCAAACACAGCCGATCCTCAAATATCTCGCAGTTTGCCCTTGTGGCTGCCCATTACGCGGAGAAGATCCCAATGATATACAGCAGCCTTATAACGAATCCTCCAATTCAAGCCAAACCGTTGCTAGGCAGGACCCCATCATTCAAACACAGCCGATCCCTACAAATTTTGCAGAATGTCCATGTGGCTGCATATCAAGCATAGAAGGTCCAACCCCCACGAATGATCCCATGCCCAACGACTTTAAAGACGTAGCAGATCAGAATTCACAGTCAAAGTCACATACGGACTCTCCGTCCGGAAAGGACTCCACTCGAAGCGGATCTGGATCATCAAGCTTCGAAGACAAGGCGGAAAGATACCAAGGGAATAACGCAACTCAGGACACAAGCCAGCAAAATTTAGCTAGTGCCACAGATTTTTTCATCAAAACTGGATCGCCAAGCTTCGAAGACAAGCTAAAAACACATCCAGAGATTAGCAAAGATACTGGAGAAAGTCCCAAAGATTCCTCCACCCAAACTAACATAGCAAGTCCCAGCCATTCTTTCGCCCAAACTGAAACCGTTACACCTCGCGAGAGCAAAACTCTAAAAGATGTGGCCGTAGAAATCAATAAAAAAGAAACTGATATAGAGATTGAGCATCAAAATGCACAAAACAAATCGGAAATTGTGGTTCATTCAAGCAAAGATTTGGTTTTGTTACCAACAAATCAAGACAAGGAGGACAAAGACCACGCAGTTTCATTGGAGAAATACCATAAGGAGACACAGAATAAAGATTCATCATCACTCCTGCAGCAGGAAAACAGTGACCAGACGGGCAGTCTTCAGATTTCCAAAGACGACAATGACCAGACAGCGAGTCCAAAGGGAAAATGCGATAAAGAGACACAGTATGAAGATTCATACACATCAGAAGGTAATCAGAATGTGGAGAAGTGTGCCAATTGCTCCCGCGTTCCTGAACTACTTCAGAAGATATTCGAAATGGAGCAGAAGATGAACCAACAGGAATGTTCCCTTAGACAACTGCAATGCTCCGTGAGATCATCGAAAGTGCAGTCCAATACTGATCAGTCTACCCAATGGGAATATGCGAAAATTTGCGGCGAGAAAAATGAGAGTTCTAGGCCATCTAGTTCTGGTCAAAAATCGAAGAACCAACCGTTTCAAATTTCTGTGGAGGTTTGTCATGATGCAAATTCCAAGAGGAGTACAACCCCAGCTCGATATGAAACAGACAACTGCCAGAAGCTGAAGAAAGAGCAATTCTGTACTCAGTCGACGGAGAATTTAAAGGAACAAGCATGCAATACTTTACTGGAAAAATTAATTCAAATGTTTGCAAAACCAAAAGACCAAGAATTAGACTGTACTTGTGAGGATTTGGGATCATCCCGCGATGGTGCTACCACATCTCGATTGGACAAAGACAATCGTCAGAACTCCAGCACAAAAGTCATTCCCACTGAGTCCCAACAGAATTTGAACGATGAGGTGTGCGAGTCCCTGATAGAGCAATTTATGCATATGTTTATGAAGCCCACAACCCACAGAGAAGATTGCCCATGTCCGGTCCAAAAAATACACAAGAGAAACACAAAAGATTTTCCATCGAACTCGACAATTCCGCAAGAGGGAAACAAAGTCAAGACTCGTGACAGGTTCACTCAGGCAGGCGACGAGATGATGGAAATAGATGGCAAATATAAGAGTCAGAGCGCAGAAATATTGATGGACGAATCTCAGAGCATTGATTCAAGCCAAACTTTAGGACAAACTTCCCTGGAAAGCCGCGAGTCAAGCTTGTGCCAATTCTGCCGAGACAAAGAGCTTCCCGTGCTGGATCATATGGTCGGCGAGGTAAATGATTTAATTGGCAGTCGACGCCTCAGTCGTATTGTAATGACTGTACTGCTGCGGGCGGACAATCTTTACCATGTGAACATCCGTGAAATGGGCACCGGCTGTGTGGTAGGCTGCCTGCTGGTAAACGATGCGGCCATCGAAGAGGCCATCAGTCTAGGCTTGTTTGAGCAAATCCTAACATTTTGTGTGACAGATGTGCGTAGCACGATTAAGCCCAAGGATGGTCCCTTTGCCATACACTTTGAGCTCATAGAACAACGCGAGCGTGGAGGCGGCTGGGATGAGGAGACCGCCAACACCGAGAAAGTCTTGGAATTTGCAACTCAAGTGCTGGGTCTGAACATTGGATATGTTAGTCGACTTTTCTCCCTAACTTATGCCATCAAATTGGACAAGCAAGCGCCTGATTGCAGCTTGAGGCAAATATCACAATCGCTTATTGCACCTTCTGCTTGCCGAGCTCATACGAATAGAGACACAGCAGAATATTTCACATCTAGATTGATATTAATCGACAATGGAGCGACTTATTCAATGCGTAGCCACTCAGATGCAGAACGCAGAGAAGGCTTAGGTTCGTCATCGAGCATGTTTCTGCGCATAGTAACCGGTAGGGCGGATCGTGAGGAACATTCCTAACAGGTTCAATTGATAGCTGATAGCTACATTTTCAAATATTTTATTAATAATTAACACTTTCAAATTGTATAAATATTTAATTTGATTAAACAAATAATTTAGGGGCCACATCTGCGTTTGTTTTTACTATTTCCTTACTCTACTCTAGTAAGATATTGTTTGTTGCTTTCGAAAACTAAGAGATTTGGAAGAAACATACCCATACATACCATTACGCTTTTTTTGTAGGTACGGGTATAATATTATTAGACTTATAGGGGTTTACTATATGTTGGGTGCACTTAACAGTTGCAGCCGTACGTATTGGGTTTATCCATGCAATTAGCAACGGGCCAGTCGCAGGTACCAACGCTTTTACAATTGGGCGATTTAACAGACGGCGCACTGATCCTAGCCTTGTGGGCGAGACGGTTATAGTGACAACGATGGGTTGTAGCTAGGCTTGGACATAAAGTAGCCGTACATCTGTGCGTATTGGGTTAATCCGTGCAATCCGACGCAGGTACTACACAATTGGAAATGTCCCATCGAGTGACTCCTCGGGCTACGAACGATCGATTCAGGTAATAGCGAGTGCTCTATCCATACCTCTCTGGCGTATAAAACGGAGCGCTGCCGTGAAGAAATTATCAGTTAGCAACGAGCGAAGCCAACGACAACACCAAAGAGATCAACTATTAAAGGAGAACCGTGGAACATCATGAGCAACATTAGCAACGACAGTGGACTGGATGACTCTGCCATCTGCGGAGCTGTGGCCCATCCCAGTGGTCCGGCAGCGACTCGTCTCTCCTGGTTCCTGGCCGAGGTGGATGAGGGATCGATGAAGAACGGCCAGCCGAACGGTCAGCCACGACTGTGCGTCCTCCACTCTATGGAGCTGCTGGAGTCGGATGTTTCCGACAAGTATATGACCCGCTTTGTGGAGTTCCGGGTTAACGGCATGGTGCTAGAGGCCAAACTCATCCTCGCCGCCGATGAGCGCCGGCTGGTGGATGCGGCCTTGGTATCGATGAGCAAGGAGCAGCGAGAGGAGTCTAATGCCAAGCAGCTCCTGGTGCAGTACACGGAGAACGAAGAGGCTGGCGATCGTCTGGTCCAGAAGTTGGTGTCCCCCAACAACGTGGCCTGGCTAAGCACGAAGCCAGAGCTAAAGTGCAATCCGCTGGTCAGTCTCGGTCCCGGATGTATTGCTCATGTACTGTACTCCTATGATCAGCGGGACTACATGGAGAAGGTGCTACTCCACCTGAAGGCTCGCTGCTTTGATCACGCCTTCGATGAGCAGCTGGACCTGCCGGTGACCATGGACGATGACACCTGGCTGCTGGTGCAGTATAGCCCCGAGCCAGAGACCGTGGTCTACCAGGTAATACAGTTCAGCCAGACGGTGTGGCGGCAGGAGAACCTCTTCAAAGACGTCATCGCCTATGTCCAATTGCCGGGGAGCGAACTGGTGCTGCAGGCCGTCGTCATTAGCTATGGCCAAGATCAAAAGGTGCAGCTGGCCAAGTACGAGGATCTGCGCTGCTTTTCCATGGACTTAGAATTCCCGCTGCCTGAAGATCTGGAGCAACAACTGGAGCAGGGCAGTGGCACCGCCGCGCTGTTCTCCCGCACCAGCATTTACCAAAGAGCCGAGGAGCGGGATGCCACTGGAGAGCACAAGCAGCTAAGGCGCAGTCTGGAGCAGATGGGTGAGAAGGCCCAGAGCGAGGCCCAAATGATCATCGATGCCTTCGACATGGTCGATAACATCAACAAGAATCTTCAAAGCCGCCTAAGTGGCGACGTCCGACTGGAGATGGCTGCCGCATCTGGAGACGAACTTCATTAGTCAGAATGCTTAACATCCCTCTTCCACACCTCGCCACATTTAAGTCATTATAAAAAGTTAAAAACTTGAGTTGTTTAGGTGTAAGCTTTTAGAGTAATTTTTTATCTAATAATGTATACAAATATATTAAAAAAAGCAATACAAAAATTCTAGTAAATATAATGTTAACATTGTGGTCTTCAGTGATCACGTCTTAATAAATATTTTCTTTTGCTCAAAGAACCAAAATAAATGTAAAAACAAAAATTCAAACGATTTGGTTACCTTTTTGGGAATGAATTAATATAACTTATTTAAATTAACACTAGCTTAAACAAATGCAAAAATTCGTATAATTAAATTTAAAAAAAAATTACAAAAAGTATAGTAAAACAAGTGAATAAACTACAGCTATGTTTAGAAGATATCCTTTAAAGCGTTTTATAGGAGTTAAATATGTAAGTCTAATTATAAGAAATTATCCTTAAGATGTGACTAGAAATGATATGTAATTAAAAAATGTTCTAATAAATATACAAAAAAATGTAAAGAGTAAGTAAAAGTTCCATATGAGCAGGCACCGCATATGACCTTCTAGTTTAAAACCCGCATTTCGGGTGTATACACTTGAAACATGAATTGACCGTAAATCTGTTTTTAAAATGATTTATAAAGTATTAATTGAGACCACTTCTCAGAATAAATGATTCGATTTGTGGCTTCACCAACGTACTTAAGTTAAATATATTTAAGCTTCATTAACCTGCCAATAAAAATATTTAAGTCATAACGCCAAAAAAGAAAAACTGGTTCGGATATTAATATGTTTTACAATCGAAAAGCGATCTAAAATTCTATGATTAAAAAATGTTCAGACGCTTACAATTTAGAAACTCAGATGACTGCAAAAATTATTCAGTTCAGCGAATTCTGAAAAAAATTTAAAAAAAATTTTGTTAGGCTTAAAAATGTTTGTGAAGGCATAAATGAATTCCTTACATCCTTACCGTCGATATGTTGGCAAAAATAATATCTGAGCCTATTTCTATCAATTCGTGTCAGTGATTTCCTCGATGGTCAAGGCCGATCGGTCCGTTTCCGACCATGAAGGAAAATCGCACATTTCGGATGGGCCTCCGTGAGGAGAGACATACGAGTAGATCGTAATGGGCTGCACCACCATGAATGGTGGTTGTGGCGGGCTCGGTAACAAAACTCGGCGGTTTGGGTCCACTGCAGGTGGCTTGAAATAGGGCGGAGAACTTATTAGAAAGAAAATATGTCCTTGCTGCACCATTGTTGGATCCAAATAAAGGTCTGGCGATTGGAAAAAGAGCTGAGGCATGCGGTTACCTGAGGTCATCACCTGATTTTGCCCTCGAGCTGGGTTTAGAATTGTGTCAAGCTTCCGGTTATTACCATTATTATCGCAAATTATGTTAAAGCGAGGTAATTTCATTCGTTGTAAAAAGCTGAGCTGCCAGGGCCGGAATTGACCAGGTGGCAGCGGATGTACTGATTTCGCAGGCACCAACAACTCTTTGCACATTTCCTCAACATAAACACTGAATGTGTGTGTGCTCCAGTCTATTTTCTGTATGTAACACTTCTTCATATGCCCAGGCCTTTGGTCAAGCTCCACTAGACAATGGGCGCCAACCTTGAAATCGTAGTCGCCGATATATAGCTGGAACCTTACCGCCTCCTTTTTCATCACAAGATAAGAGGTGAGCTCAACATTTCGATAGCTATCTGGGGATAGGGACTTGGCAACAGAATAGGAAAATGGCGCGATGTTTTCATCCATATATCTGAGCGTGCACGACAATGGTCCTCGTCCAAATCTCATTAGATACTCTTGCCAACGTTCTCGATTGTGGAAATCGCAGAGCTCTTTGTCGTTCATTAGGCAGTTGGTGAGCTCTGGTGAGTCCAGGTCGAAACTGCGTCCATTTCTGCAGAAAAGGCGAACAACAGTGCCATTTCGACTAAGTTCCAGCGAGGTGCCTTCGCGGAATGTGCCCGGATTCAGCATCTTCTCAGCTGCCAGGCTCACATCCGGCAGCCTAAAACACATCTGGTAAAGCATTGTAAATGTGATGGATTGGCAAATGGCTGCCTCCTCAATGTGCTCCATCGGGTAGACAGCATCGAAATGGCCATACCGGTCGATGAACACACTAAAGTTCTCCTTGTAATTGTCGCTAAATGTCACTGGCGTGCCCAGTTTCATTGGCTCATGCACAATCGCATTCCGGCCGTACATAAGGCAAAGGGCGCGTAGTTCTATCATCGTACCCCGCGTTTTCGGCTTCTCTAACTTCAACAGATAGTCGTTGAAATTGCCCTTTATGTTTCTCCTGAATAGGCGTCGCTTGTCCATCATAAAGCGTACACAGTCCTCTCGCACCTCTTGGTGAAGATTTTGTGTGTCATACATCTGCTCGGCGATGACTCGGAATAGGCTGCAACCGCCCTTAATGATCAGCTGGCGATACAAATTGTGATCTGCCAAATATTGATCGATCGGATCGCCACGCCCAAGTGTTTTGCCCGGGCCTGTAAGTTTGAGGTGATTCCATGACATGGCTTGATCAGCGTAGCAGAACTGAATGTAAGAGAAGAGGGTTTGATGCAAATGAATCACTCATTCATTATAGCAAGCACTTTGATCTACTTTGATTTATTTTACTTAATACACAATAAACATACCAATAAAGAAGGGAAACAATTACCTCTCGGCAGACACTTTACAAATCAGAAAAACGTGCTTAAGCTTTGTTGTTGCTATTAGTGGTGATAGTTGCGCTATCACGCAGAAAAGTGCTGTAAAGCGCCAAAAAATCGATGGTACAATATGGCAGCGCTGGGAACATCGAGCTTAAATTGGTCACACTATCGGTATTATATTTTAGTAGTTTTTTGTTAGGAATAAAGTTTTAAATGCTAAATATATGATTATAAATATGCATATATGCACAAGTATCTGTGTGTATGAAGATCCATATAGATAACTTTGGGTTAGATACAATCGATAGTTTCTAATGCGAATATCAATCAATGCAAGAATAACTCTTTGGAATAGCTTCCCATCAGAGTATTTATCATATTACCTTTACTATGATTAGAACAAGGATTAGCTTGTTTTTAAATGCCTAAAACTATTTTAAAATCTATCGATTGCCACTTAGATAGCCGTAAAAAATTCATATACCTTCTCTAATTTTGCATGTCTGAATGAAAGAACCAAAAACCAAAAAGAAAAATATAGAAATGTCCGAACAAGACGAATTAAATACCGTGTCCGACGATGAAATGATGTCCAACAATGAAAATAAATTAACTGAAGGAACATCGGCCGAGCCAGATATAAGTGACGAATCTGATAATGAACCAATTGCCAAACCTAAAGGGAAAAAAGCTCTCAAACGTAAGGGAAAAACTCCTGAGCCACAAGTCGAACCAATTGCCGCACCTGAAGAGGGGTGCATTTGCGCACGTGCCAACTATCAAATTAAATGCCTGAAATGTAAGAAATGTTTTGTGGGTCGCATATTTGAAAAGTGCCCCGTGCACACAAGGGCTGAGAAATTAATGGACGCTGAGTTCTGTCTTTATTGCGGCCAAGAAGCCCTAATAAAGCGCAGCGAAGAAGCAGACTATTCGGGCTCCGATTGCGATGAAGAGTTTGATGACATGGATTCAACGAGTGATGGGACGGACTCTGGGAGCGATGAGTCGGACTCTGAGAGCGATAGGACACTCATTGACATCCCATCCTCAGACTCTGAAGGGGATGACCAATCCTGAAAACTTGCACAGGAGACTTTATACACATGCGCAAGCTTCCGAAGTACTACAGCAACAACAACAACCTCAACAAACCCCTAAGACGACGATAACCAAGATCCAGAACAATATCAGTAGAATAGCAGCATTCCTTATAACTTCAACTAATTTTCAACTAATTAAACGCATTCTCCTCTTTATGAAACTTTAAAAATTAAACCTTCAAATGCACATGTGTCACAAGCTGTCAAGAAAATAAATATGTAAAATAACCTCATTAATTCAATAAAACTTTTAAAACAAAGAAGGGTCTGAAGCAAAGTTTAATCGGATATGATAAGAATCAATGTTTTGCTGCTTCGGCCAGGGCGCCACCTCCGGATCCAATCGATGTTGGCGAAGTACTTCAGAGAAACTGTACCACATGGCCGATGCACGTCTTGGAGTCTTGTGGATCAGCACCATTGCCGGGCCCAGGCTCCAGGTCTCCTGCGGCTCCCCAGCTGGAAGCTGAAGCAGGACTTAGCAAGCTAGTGGGAAAATTGTCGATGTCGGTGACAGCTTGCTTAACCGATGGATTGTAAGCACTTTTTTGTTCCAGACTCATTTTCAATAAGCTCATATTAATTCTCATTGGTTACTTCTAGTTGATAGTTTAAAAGACCTTTTTCAACCATCTGTGATACTACATTAATTAAAACAGTTTATTCAATATACATTTAATATATATTTAATAATTTAAAGTGGAAAGTAATTAGTAGGTACATATGGATGTAAGTACATATATATGTAAGTTTATTTGCGCTTTTCGAACGCACTGTGTGTATGCGTTGAATGTTTAAAAACATTTGGTGGAACTTCCACGGGATTTATATTAAAGGTAAAAACGGTAAGCAGCCTTTTGCAATGTATTAATAGTACATATGATGAGATATGATGAGAGTACATATGATGATGTTTCTAAGTATAATTTGCCCACATAAATGCTAAAATATGCTGCATTCCCGCAGTATTGGAGAAACACTTGAACGACAATGCAAAATCTCCCACACATTAAACATTCTTAATGCACATTAATGCAATTATGAAATCCAAACTTCCTTGATATTTTCCCAACTCAATAATTAATTGCCAAATCAAGTAAATTATGTCTGCATAAATCCATTACAGAGCGTGTCGCAATCAATTTTCCCCCTCGCAATTGACTGCCAGAGCTCGAGGTAAACCATTAACTAAGCGCTTTTCAATTATTTAGCAATCAGAGTATCATTCATTGGATTAATCCGACTAACCCAATCACTTCATCATACCAACACAATCTGGACGACGCCGACAACTTAATCATGAGGCATACGAATAATAGACACCCAGTGGAAGATTTAGGCAGTTCTTCCGATTTCGTTTTGTGGGCAACGATTCTTGGCCGTCTGCTTATGGGGATGGGGATATTGACTTGGCTGATTATTTTTATTTGCTTGGGAAATGATTCCACCGAGACATAAAACTATGCCGTTTCCAGAGCCATGTATAAACATTTATACACGATTAAGTGTGCTGTTTATTTTTATGTTTGGTTTAGCGCTTCCGCTGCCGCTGTCGAAAATTTCGATGCCCGTCAGATATGGCGTATACGCTTCATTTAATGGACCAGAATGAGATACACTGCCACCTCGTAGACAGCCCCAAGAGGAAGGCAGAAAAAAGCAAAAACGAAATTGGAAATCGACTCGGAATCGCAATAGAAGGGAGGAGCCAACGTTTTGGGCCAAATTAAAGTGCGGCTAAAGTGTACTGCCCCGAGGTTTGTGTGGACTCTTCAAATTCAATAAAATATTGGTTTGTCCAGGGCCACATAAATCAATGAAAAACTAATCAAAAAATCAAAAGAAAAACACTGCGGATTTTTTGTTCAAATGGAAGTGGAATAAAAATGAATTGAATTGGCCGTGTGTACGGAATGAGTGCCAAATATTTGGCTTAACAAAAACGGATTAAACGTTACAAAAACAGTTCCCAAAATAAACGCCGTTTTGTTCTTAAATTCATTTAAAATGCAAATCAATTATACCAACGTAAAAGCGCAATGTGCCCGGTTTATATACATAATTTTTTCAGTTCCATTTCATTCCCCATTTTAAAATTTCAATTTATGCAAATGCAACAGCATCAGCAGCAAATCGAGCTTCGGGGGAGGAACAGGAACCCATCCAAGCCGCAAGCTTAAATGCTCATTAGTGTTCTGTATGCCCCAAAAAAAAAATAAGCGGGGGAGTACGCGATACCTGACGCTGCCACTAGAAAGTACCCAGTAATTGAAAAGTAGATGATGGACCGTCTTAAATTTAAAAAAATATATGTTTATAATGTTAAAGGATGTTGTAATCTGGACTAAGAATTATTTGATAGAAATAAATCGGAGATACATTTATCAAAATTTATTTTGTATCCCCAATGGTATTTCAACTTTTATACTGTTCCATGCCTAAAACCGCATCTTAAAGACAATCCATTGGAAATCATCAAGTATACCATATTTACGTTACGCGTACTGGGTGTATATAAAATAGAAGCCCGAGCCGGAGTTGCAGAAGGGCGAGGACTAAGCCCCCAAACTGAAGACTGGGGAGCGCACTCGAGCGGATTTCATGTCGCCTGCATTCACATTACCATCTCGGATCTACAGCTTTCTCTCTCTCTCTCTCTCTTTGTGGAAATTCCCCTAAGTTTATGCCGCTTGCCGCAATCCTGTCGCCTTTTAAAATGCAAAGCACTTCAAGTCGGGGGCTTTAGGTTGCCGAATTGCATGCAATTAATTTAAACTTACGACCAACTTACAGAGGCGGCCCAGACAGAAGCCATTTGGTGCTGGGGAAAATGGAAAATACCAACAGAAGCATTTTACTGTTGCATTGTTGTGCAGATTGATCCCATTTTAATGATGCATTTCGGGTGGCAAAACTAATTATTTGGTTGAAAACGTTTTGCAACCGATCCCGATGTGATTGTAACGATTTTATCATACATACATAAGTCAAGCATCAAGGTTTTTTGTTATATAAGTGTAGGTTCGTTGGTTTTGCATTGATTTTAGTTGTCAGAGAACTGTTTTTGATTTCAGTGACTTTTCTACACAATGAAAAATAAATATTTTAATTGGTCCATTGTTGAATTATTGCATTTATGCCATGTGCCACATTTTCATGGCAGAACTTTCGATAGAAAACATTTCCCAACAACTTAAGCCAATTAAAAAGTTTATTTCTCCCCTAGAAGGTAGTGCATGAGATGTACTATGTGCGTACAAATTTATATTGTGTGGGGAAACCGCAAAGGTTGTGATTTTTTGTTTTTTTTGCTGCTTACACATTTAATTTCTTTTGAATGTTTTGAGGCGGGTGGTGTTGACAATTTTGACATGTTGTGGTTGCACTCAGTTGTGAAAACATCCAACAATTGGTCGTGCCACGGCAGGAGGCAAACAGCCGGGCGAAGGAGACGATTTCTTGTGGCTGTGCAGCTAATTTTGAGCTTGTTGCTGATATTGCAGCAGCTTAAATCCCGCTTAGACTATAACTTTTGGTCTTACGTATATGCTAAAAATTGTCAGCATACAGACTGTGGCCACACGATAAAGCGGACAGCAAACAAGCAGGCAGTCACCAGCCACACAGAAGCTGCCAGTGGTTTTAGTTACTTGGGGCCTGGTAGAAATTGTAGAAAAAAAAACCGAAAAAACAGGAAAGGAAAACTTGTAAGGCCGTAGCTGCAAATACTCTTCGCTTGTTAGTCCAAAATTTGTATGCTAAGTAGTTTAATAATTGAATGTTTAGAAAGACTGCTCTTGTTGCAGTCAAATACATATGATATGGTTACTTATTCTTAACGTATTCTTGCGGTGGCAAGATTAATCTGGACTTATTATTTGGGCTTGTTGCTGATCAAGAAATAATATTAATAATAATAAATAAATAAATAAATAAAAATAAATAATAATAAATAATAATAATAATATGCTTTCTGAAAGAGTATGAAAACCATGTAAATATTATTTTCTGAGCTGCAATTTAAATTGAAACCAATCTTTAGCCTTGTCTGACCTGCAGTCATACCCCATCTTTAAGGCAATGGCTACTATTCCCCTTACACTTTTGTATCTTTAAGCTAAATTTAAAGACTTAACGTCGAGTTAAACATGCTGAATATACAATTTAGTATATGCTTAATATTCAAAAGGCATAACTATGAGACAACTGACAGTTATTAATGCTTCAGTTAGCTGTCTAGGACATTGAAAAATCGGGTCCTAATCGTTCACCCTTAGACAACAACAGACATTTGATTGAGCTCAACTTTTCAGCATCGTACAATTTTCACTCAAAACAATTATGAATGAATGGGCCAGCAGTGCGCTCAGCTGTTGCTGTTGAGTGGATGTTAATCTTGCTGTTAGCTAACAGCCGCAGCCTCTGAAGAACACAGGCAGAACGAACAGTCAGTGCCACGGCCAGGGGCAGGCATTCTGATTTTTAGTCCAACAACAGACGTCGAGTCGAGAGCACACACACTCCGAGAGCAGTGCGCGCATGTCAGCCGAGTTTCGTATTCGAGTCGAGTCGAGGCACCACATGGCGTATACGTGTTGCGGGCCATTCAAACGGGTGCACTGAGTCCATTATGGTCACTGGTCGAAGGGGAATCCGCGCCAGAGCTCTGTAACCAGACCAGATGTTTCAATTCTAGAACTGCCCGAGTCTTTGCTCGATCAGAATGTGAACAACCATCTCCACGTCTAGGAGAAATTCAGTGTAAGCGGAGTGATTGAATGTGGTGTGTTTATACAATAAATATTTATTCCCTTTGTGATTTAAATGGCACAATGTCAAAAAAGTAAAAATAAACTTGAAATAATTTCCCAAAAGCAATATCAATTGATTTACAAAAATTAAAATATTTTCTTAACAAATAAAATCCAATGAATAACATTGACTAAAATGTTGTAAATAAATCATAAAAATAAAGCTTATAAATAATAAAAACATCTGCAAATGTTTAATATAATTGAATTGAATAATTGAAATATAAATTCAAGAAAACGCCGTGAAACGAACAGAAACAACACCTAAAACACGTAAAATGCAAATCCTATGAATTGAAATCAAATCAATCATTTGATATATTTAAATTTCAATCATGAACCAAACCAGGTTTGACATTCGAGTTGGCACACTCCGGAATTCAGGGGCAAATTGCATTACAGAAGTTTCATTTTTTGCTTAAATTTCCCACAGGCGCGGGATGCACGTGCAATCCCCTTTTGATGGGTGCCCTTGAGCTCTTATTCCTCTTCCTGCTCATATTTTGCTCACCGTTTGTCAACGCCATTTCCTCTCCACGGAGCACAGGAAGTACGGGTGGGGAGGGGCCTCTCGTTTTCTGTTTGATTTACATATTGCTACCTGTCTGAGTTCCTATATATAGGAACGTGCGTGAAAAGCAAACAAAAAATATAGAACGAAGAAGATCGCGCGCGAAACGTGATAAAATAAGCGGAAAATAGCTGACAAGCCGAACAACCACTCCTCCCATCATCTTTCAATCTTCAGTTTCATAAAAAAAACAAGAAAGGAAACGCTATTTTTTAGAGCTGATATTTTTGATACCCTTGATCATATTCTAACAGATCGTTTTAATGGAAACTAACATATTTAAGGGATTTAAATTGGTCTGAAAATAAAAAGGCAGAAATTTTTTGGGTAAAAAAAAAACGAACGAGCGGATACAAAGTCATGATACCCTCCGTAGGGCTGCACCAAGAGAAAATGAAAACATTTACCGCAAAACAAAGGAATTTATCTGACCAGATGCCTGCGGCCTTAACCTCCCTCTGGGTCATGTGAGGCGCTTGTGACAAGTGACAGTTTGTTTGTTGGTTGGCCGGGACGCGGACGCGGACACAGGGACTCGGAATCAGCTTGGTCTGGTCTGGCTCTGGGTCTGGCTAGGGCATGGTCGTCCGATATGGCCCCGTAATTTGCCTGACGCTTTTATTGTTTGCCCATGAACATGGCGTCATTATCTTTTGTATTTTTATTCATTCGTTTGGCTTAGTTTTTTCTCTCCACGTCCACGTCTGTTTGCACGCACTTTTACCGTGTTTACTCGGCCGCAACATAAACTAATTGAATCATTCTTTTGGACAACTTGGTATACAACGGGTATACTTATTATTAAGCTTGGGGCGTGTCACGTTTGCAGCAATTATTTGGGCGCCTTGAGAACACACTCACTTGCAATTGCAGTGCACTTGCCTTGGTTTGGCTTTTACCTTTACCTCAGCTTTCACCTGTGTTTCGTGCAGAGCTGCTGCTGTCATTTGGCACTTGGTGTCGTAGTTGGTGGCACTCAATGCCTGCCATCATGAAGCCGCCAACTGAAACAACAAGGCGGTCTCCCAGTAGTCCCCATCCGTCATACTTGCGGCCCCGAACCGAATGCGGTGGAGACGCGCCGCGCCGACTGACGGAATGAGTGACTGGGTAAGTGAGTGCCCTGGGCGGCAACTTGTTTACCTGCCTGTGTTTTAATGAAATGCAAATGCAAACACAGAGTAGTAGTATGTACAGTGGTTCGAATAACATGAAAATGTGGGAAAAATTGTTGACATTTGAACTTCAATGAATATATGTCATTTATTGTCAGAACTTCAAGTTTCCCTTTAAGCCAAAAATCACGCATATACTTGAATATAAAAATGTATTGGTGCAGTGTAAAGATATTGATATACTTATTGTATTCTTATATAAATTGTATCTGTACTCGAACAAAATGTCAACGCAAGTAAGAAGAATATTTGAGCTTATATTATAGGATTATTATCCATTCCAAGTTTACGTTAATGCTAGAGTATAGTAAACGATTCAAAAAACTCCCACAGTGCGCTCACATGTAGGTAATTTTTCTTGGCAATGCCTGTAATGGCACTTAGCCGTAATAGGGTTACTGCCAGGGAGCCGCATTCATTTTGTTTCTGTCCCTGATTTGCTACGCAAACACTTCAATTTCCGTGACAGCTGACAATTTGCCGCAATTGCACATTGCAATGCAATTAGATTTAATAAATTTCCAAACCACATTTTACCATGACAAAATCTGTCTCATTAAATATGTATTTATCATAATCTTATTCATGTTAGACTCGATTTTGATGTGCAGGATGTTCTTGAGTGCCACAGCACCGTTCCTCGCTCCATCTTGCCGCATAAATAAATTGGTAAGAAATTTCTTTACGACAGGCCTAGCAGTGGCGCGGGCGTTTCCTTCCGTCTTTCTGGCAACGGGATGACTTTCCCTTCGAGACCATAAAAACAGATTTGCGCATAATTTCAAAAACTCCCCAGATTGGCAGTCGAAAGTGCTCTGGATTTTGATTTGAAACTCATTTTATGCATACATAAGGTTTATGGCACGACATTAAACTAAATACTCGTCATCGAAGCCGAAGGTGTGGAGGAGCCAATTGAACGTGACAAACTTATGAAAAGTGCTAAAACATGTCCACTTAATGCGGTTTATATTGTGCTGGGAAATCGAAAGCTTAAATGGGACACGGAGTGTAATCGCCTTGAGGGAATTTAAAAAGTAAAGAGGCAAAGGACAAGACTTAAGGATTGGTACAGATGAGTTATGGTATTCAAATACATATATTAATCCTTGCATTTCCATATAGGACACTTTTTAGTGCGAGCATACATATGTATGTACGTTCTGTTCTGTTTCTTTATTTGATTATATCCCTATAAATATTCAAATGGAAAAGTTTTATTTTATTCAAGAGTGTAATTAAAAATTTAAATTTGTGTTATTATATGTCATTTGTCCAAAGTAACATGCGAGTTCAGATTATTCTCAAATGCATTTTCAAACAGATTCCAGTATTTTTAATTGTAATACACTTTCCTAAGTGGATTTAAGTATTCCATTTCGACAGTCAAAAAGTCAAGTTTGTTAAGATAAAATCAGAATGCGCGTATCTTCCATTTACTTGGCTTGAAAAGTTTTCCAATTCACTTATTTCATTAACTTGATTCATCGAAAAGTGATTTGGGAAGCTTGAACGAAATGGTAATCAACTTGCATTGATTGCTGTTTTTGGTCGCGTCCGGATTCCGCTCCATCTTCATCTCCAGCTTTGGGTTGCAAGGACCCTGATTCCATGGCTAAAAGCGACGACAACTCTTTGGTAACATATCACTCAACGCAACTTTTCACCGAAACCCCGTCCCCTTCAGCCTCGACAGACCCCCACGAGAATGAATAACTTGTGAATTTCTTTGAAAATGACTCGCACAAAGCGGAAAAGTAGAAGGAAGTTTCCTTTGCCACGCGTTTGACATGCAGAAAAGGTCGCAGGGCAGCGCACAACACTTGAATTTAATTAAAACAGATTTTGGCTTGTAAACTTTTAAGCTACAAAAGCTGCTCGGGATAGCTGCAGTTAGCCGGTTAAGAGAGTATGCTGGCAACCCAAAGGGATATCTTTAAATACACATTAGGAGGCTTAATCAAAATTAATTTGCAACTTGCCGGAGACGAAAGTTTAGTCAGGCTGCAAATATAATCATTGGCTGCTTATACACACTCGCATTCGCACTTGCTTTGATTTATGCTGATTTCTCAATTTGGTTTTTCCTTCTTGTGGCTGTCCCGATGACTGGGTCTTGCGTTTTCATTAATTTATTATGGCCAACGGCCAACGGCAACTGATTTCACTTTAATTCAATTTATTAGCCAATACACAACAACAACAGCCACAAGATATCGTATTTATTTCATGCACACAATTCCGATGTCGACAACAGCCCGAGGGCCATGTCAGGACAAAGTCACTTAACTGCTTATCTCCCCGGATTCATCGTCGAAACTAAGCCAAATCTGGCCGATATGGAGGGGGTATGACTGTCTGCTGGAGGTCTGTGCCCGTCTCGAGTCACGCACTTGGAGTGTATTCACGACAAATTCATTATAATTTCGCTTCAGAGGAGCAGGAGAGCGTTCCCTCTACGAATCATCTACGGTTCTGGGATCTCTCTGGGTGCGTGCGTGCCAAGACATACGCCAAAAGAATTTCCCCATCCGCTTGTGGCTTCTGTATTGGTAGAGCAACACTCACACAGATACTTTTCCCCCAGTCATACAGAGGCACTTGCTGATCCAATATGAAATCGGATTAAATGCGCCCCAATGTGTCGTTCCTGCATTATGATTGCGAATATTTCTGTCCGCCAGCGAGGGTTTTTCCTAATGTAATCAATGTTTACATTTCGAGTGCCGGAAATGTGTTTTCTTCTTTTGGTTAAATGTGAACAAAAGGGTGGAGAAGAGGATAAAAAGATATGACTACTTTTTTCACATCTAAAATATATTAAAATTCCAGTTCGTAGCGTATTCTAAATTACAAACTTCTTGTCCTAAATGTAATTTCACAAGTTTGATAAATTTCATAATTCAATTCCCCTTTGAGCATATAGAATACAAACGACAGTCAAAACCTTGCATAAATATTTAAATATATACAGATCAGATTGTGCATGCAAAATTATATGTACATATATCCAAGATAATAGTTTTTGAATGAATGAGCAAGCAAAGGAAAGGAAAACTTCCTCTCCTTTCATGCACACACAGTGTGCCCTTGTCCATGGCCAACCAAGAAATTATTTGTTATGCAGCCCCAGAAAATCACTGAAAAATTGTGCTCTACATTTTCGTCTTAGTCTGCTATTTTTTAAAGAAAAAGTTGAATAAAAAACCCCACCAACTTGGTCATGTGTGTAAATGGGACCATTTTGAGACCTGGCATTTTTATGGCCCTTTAAGTTTATGTCGAGTAATTCTCGGTTGAAAGGCGAAAGTTGAGTGTGCGGCCAAGTGTGGCCAAGACGATGAACGTTTTTTAGGTGCCGAAAAACAGCGTTGAAAGCCTTTTTGAGGTCTTGACAGCGCTTATTGAGTTTATTAATTACTTAATCATTTTGGGCTATTGAATTTGAAATTGAGAGAAGGGCAAGGATGTGGTCATGGCTGGTCATTCCATCCCGTATTTATGGTCAATACTTAATTTCTCTTAAGAACAATTTTAGAAATAATCTTGTTTATGCCGTCATAAAAAATGTACTTTATTTTTTTTAATTCGTTAAAATTAAAGTTTTTAAGTTGCTACTATTGAGTAGCTTTTTTGGGAACCTTTATGTTGTATTCTCGCTCGAGGGTGCGCTCCAGAACAACTTGGCTTATCTGCTGAAACGGGTTCTCGCACACTTTGACCATCTTTTGGCAGACATCATCCACAAAGTTATCCGCCATCTTGGCAAACAGATCCAAAGCGTGATCGTCCATTGAGGACATTGGATCGATAGCTTGAACAAACTTAAGAAGGTTTTCCTTGCTCACAATCTGCGACAGAAAATTAGTTTTTATTATTTAAATGTAAAAGCTTTTAATGATAGCTACACGTTACTCACATCGTAGCCGTTTTCGCTCGGTTCATCACGGGCATTGAGTTCATCGCCGGTGTCTTCGCTGGATAGTTCGATCGCATCCTCTAGCTCAATAGAGTCGACGCTCTCGTCAGAGGAAAAAATATCGTCTTTCTCTGTCTCCATGGTTCGATGAATTAATTGCAGCTTACCCCTTACATAATTTGGTTAAGTTAAGCAAACGCTAGAACTAGTTGGAAATTATAAGGTCCTCGAAATGGAATTGAAACTTACGGCGCTATAGCATACTATTGGGCACTTTGGACTTGAAACTTTCTTTTTGGTGCGTTGGCATTACTTCCGCATTTAGTCGACTGACTGAACTCTTTTTCCTCTGGCAGTGCCATAAATAACAAGTTTAAGTCGCGCTCTCCGCACCTGAATGGCTGCTCCGCCATTGTTGCCGCAGTTTCCCTTTTCCGCTGCGGCTTTTCCTTTGGCCTTTCCCGCTACTACTTCTTGGTTCGAATTGCGCTTTTGATTTATGTGCTGTTCCTGTTTTTCGTTTCACATGCTTCTCTTGAAAATAAATATCAAAAAGCAACAAATTGTGGCCCTGCCATAAACGACCTTTGCCTAAGCCTCAGACTCTGGCAGGCAATGGCGACGGCCACAACAAGAAGGAATACGACGACGACGATGTCGCACTTGGAGCTTAATTTTATGCCAGACCTAGTTTGGGGGCAAGGCCAACACGTGCCCAGGTGTCCTGCCAGCCTATTATGCTGTTTGTTCTTTTCGCACAAACCAATGAACAGTGGGACACAAAACGAATAATATAGCTATAATTTAGCTATAAAAATATCTGAAAATTAACTGAAAGAAAGCTTTAATTTAGCATTCAACTATGCGTATATAATCTAAATCTAAACCTAACAAAAATCTTTTTACGTGGATCTTACCTTGATGAATTATGTTACCAAGTGCTAAGGGGATATTTCCTAGTTTCTGTTTCTCTATTTGAATACAAATTAATATTCTTCTAGAAAACATAGATATATGGATATTATGGATATTTTTTTGCTGAAATTTTACTATTTTAGGATGTACAATTTTAATTTTATGTAATTTTATTTCTTTATTGTTCAGCCCATAGTACTATATTTTATTACAGTCTAAAATTGTGTGCCATTTTATTTTGTTTCGCATTGCACACTTTGGAGGTGCTTCTGGGTGTCCTCGGCTTAATAAAGTCGCCTACTTAAAGCCAACGACAATGACATTGTGCGTATGCTGCTAGTCAGCTATAGGGACGGAGGAGGACGATGTGGACGCCCCTTTGGCCATGTGTCACACATCCGCATCCGGTGTTGGCATTGGCATTAGGCTGACTGTCCCCCTGCCGCGGTCGCACTCTGTCGTCTGTCGTTTGCCGTTTCCGGCATGCGACTCTTTTATATTGTCGGTTTTATTTGCTCTGTGCACTCTTTTGCCACTGCCATTGCCACAGAAATTTTTGTCTGACTTTTGTTTCATATTTTTGTGCATGGTCTCTCTGCTTAGTAGAAAAAGTAAAGAGCATTTGCCGTTTAGCTTTAAGTGTTCCAAGTGCCATAAATTTCAATTTGTCAGGGCCTTTAATCGCTCAAGGCCCCCAATCAGACAGCCATTGTGACTATGTTGAATAGAATTCTGTCCGGTTGACTTCGTCTAAGAAACATGAATTGAATACGTATGTGTTGGAGCGCATATAGAAGCTTTAAGCTTGGGACATGGATAGGGCGTATAAATTATAGAGCGACATGTGAAGTTCAATTAAAGTAAGATGGAATTATTCAAAGTGTTTGTTTTGTACAAAATGTTTACATATCTTTAAATGTTTCACATTTTTTAATATTAATCAAAGCTCTTAATTAGCACACGTTATTCCACTTTATTTCATACCAAAATCACTTCAAGTGGGTCTTATTTCATATTTAATGCCACTTTTGGCAAAGAAATATCCTTTAGAACAAACTTTTCAACACTTTTCCAGCTTTTGATCTCGAAAAGTTTTCCTCACACCCACATACTTGTATCATATGTATAAAGAGACCATTAATGTTTCACCCACTTTCTTTTTATGAAGTGCTAATTTGCTCTCGTTGTTGGTATATAAAAAATGACAGCCTAAGTTGCCAAAATGCTTGAATTAATCACACATTTGTCAAAATTATTCAAATGTCTTTTATGCCAGAATGGGAATGTAATGTGAATGTGGGTGTGAGTGTACAGCCAGACATGAATAGTTAATACAAATTCCATGGCATTTCCGGGCCTGTGGCTGTGACTGCCTGCCCCTGACTGACTGTCTCGCTGTCGGTCTGTTTCAGTTCCAGCCCCCCCTCATATATTGTATGTGTGTAATAAAGCTAATGAGTTTCTGCCATGTCTGCCACAGTCTCGGTCCCGGACCCAGGACCCAGACGGAAGCTAATTCCCAGTCGGTGGCAACATGCACTCGCATTTGCACGCTTGCTGCCATTAAGAATGGTATTATTTCACATGATTATGGCATTTTGCTGTTATGTATTTTACATATGAATATTGTATGCCTCGCATTCAGGATCAGAAGCAGAATCACAATCCGAGACAGAGTCACAAGCCCTCAATTCTCATTATAAACTTTTGCCACACGCTGTAGCTGCGGGTTAAATTGCGTATACGCCGTGTCTGGCATTGAAATTGATTTAAGTCGAGAGAAAGACACTCTCTTGAAACACACACAATTAAACAGAACTCTCATCTGCATCAGATTCACATTAATGTTTCGCAAATGCAAAAAACCAACGCATTTATAATTTTTTCTTCATTTAAGTTTTTTAATTACACTTAACGGTCGCCGAGAACGGTGGCAAACCGGAATGGAAATGAGGTAGAGGAAAAGGAGCAGAAATCCTTTAATAGTCGTGGCGTCATTTCGTCGCCAGCATCGTCGCTTAATCCGTTCGTGGTATATTTATCAACGCGTCCCGCGACTTAATGAGGCGCATTTCCATGCCGAGCACGCGGCTTTCCATCTCCTTCTGCCACGGTTATGGTCGAAGCCAAACAATGGTCCCCTTTGCCGGAAAATGTGACTCTAAGCCAAAATATACACGCACACGTCCAAAGCCCTTATCTGTTGCAGTTGGCGGTACTCAGGGCCGTGCTACTTTTAGTTGGCTTACAGGTTGCTAACTGCCCCATTCGACAAAATGTTGCCAGAAATTATGAATATTGTAAACTTTAGGATGGGGAAATTCTCGCATTTGGCCAAAATTTAATTTGTAAACAGGAAATTAATTTTTGTTCATGCTAAACCGTATAAAAACCCACTTGAGGCTAGTGGTGATACTAGAAATAATCCGATTCAGCTAGGAGGAAACAATGCTTTGAGGAAATTGAAAAAATTGGAGCACAGCAAAATACTTGGCTAGAAGGAGCAGGAAAATATAATTGGACAACTACGAAAGATGATATCTTTGTACACTAAGAGAGCAACAAATAACTCAATGTCCAAACAATAGTCCCAACATCCAACTAAATTCTTCATTCAAGTACGTGCCTTCGGCACTTTAAAACATTAAACAGACATTTTCACATTTGTCTTTAAGCATGTTCAGGCACATATTCCTAGAAATATTTGAAGTGCATCCATTTCTGATAAATATATTGTAATGAAAATGAATTCGATGATTGAATTGAATTCGTCTTCTCCTTTCATAACCATTTAAATATTATTTTGAATTTATGGAAACCTTTCCCTCAAGCTAAGTGCAGGGAATATTCATAGTTATTTCAGTTGGTAAATGGAGCGACTTGACTGGGCACAAATCAAACACGGACTGCTGTTTTGTATCTTCATCTCTGGCTGGGCAAATAAGTAGTTTACCTTAGGTCTTAGCCTGGATCATTTGTTTGCCTTGCATTCTTTCCAAGGCTTTCAGACTTTTCAGCTCTGACTTTGCCTTCACTACTGTTCAGGCTTCGACTGTGGCTGTTGTTTTACTTTTAATGTAATTTCATCGCTATAAATGGAAGCCAGGCGGTTGGGAAAGGTCAGCCTGGCAGTGGAGAGGTGTGCTTGGAAATACATAGAGGAAAGAATGCTTAAAAGCAACTATTACTTTTTAATCAGACCTCGTAGTTTTTACCTGCGTAGTGCAACAGGAAGAGTGGAATTTAATTTAATTTCGCTTGACTTTTAGTTTGACATTTCGACAAAAAGGGAAAGGACGTCAGGATGCAGTTAGGGCAAATGGATGAGATGCGAATGGAATCAACCGGAAACTGGTCGCGAAACTTGTGGCCACGTAACAGCCAATTCAGGCGCTCAAAGGCCAATGAAGTGTTAACACCTAAAAATGCCAAAAGCGGTTCTGCTGCCAACTGTCGCATCCGGTGCGATTGTTGGCTCTGTTGCAAAGCGGAATCCGCAAGCAAAAATCGATGGCAGGGCAACAAAATGCAAAACAAAAATCCATCGGAGGAAGGAAAAGGTAGCCGCAAGTGACGTGCCGGAAATCGGCGGTTCAACCCAATCCAATCTATTCCCCCAATTCCCCGTGCCTGAGGTGCCGGAAAAGCGTGTCAATGCGTTCCGGTGTCGCGAGTGGCGTGTCCCATATCGTGCCCCCTGCCAGCTATCCGCCATATTGGTTATGCAATTTGATTTCAATCTCACTTAGCCACTCACTCACTCAACCCACTCTCAATGTTATTTGTTTTTTCTTCGCAGATGGTCATTGGGTCACGTGATGTGATTTGAATTGAAGCCGGCTAAGTGCAACAAGCTGCAATTGGCAATTTGCGTGTTGTGCGGCTTGCTTTGATGGATTTGCTCCAATTGGACGACAGTCGGCAATCAAAATAAGGCCACTATTCGGTTGAATGCAGCAGAGGCAGCAGCAGACACAGCCACCGCAACAACCAACAGCAAGAGAAACATCTGTAGCAGCAGCAGCAGCAGGAAAGAACGGAAGCAGCAACCGCAACAAGAACAACATGTTGACAACACACCATCTGCATCACCTGCACCATCATCGAGGCAGCACCGCCGTGGAATTGGACAAGATCACGAATCTAAATACGGTAAGTGTTGGAATTAAGTACGGGCACTTCTGGATGATTTGGAAACTTCATTTAAATAAACTTGTTTATTCGAACTATTCGTATTACTTTTTTTGATGAAAGTTTAAATTGATTTTACAAAATCGATATTGATTTAAGCTATTTAAAATCACCTTTGGCACCACCCAATAATCCCAATGTTGTTTCCACCCCATAAGGCGCTTTTCTAGTATGTTTCTCTGTATGTAAATGCACTTTTCAAATTTTCAATTAAAATGAATGACATCGAAAGCTCAAAATCCAAATGAATTCCGGGTGTGATTGCAATGACTTTTCCCAATAGTCCGAAGTAGTATGACTCATTTTAAAAGCCAGCACCAATCAATCTACATTGCTTTCAAAATTTGAATTCCCCAGGAAATTTGCGAAAATAGTTTAAGAATGCTATTGCATCCGAAGCCGAAGCTTTAAAGGAGTACCTTAATCATTTGCCTTAAAGTGTGCTATTGTAATATATTTACCAAAGAAAAACAATTGCCTTCCCTGCAGCTTAAGGGTCGACTAAACTGATTAAAGCGGTATGAAATTCTTCATCTCAAACTGGCAGTCGGACAGCAAAAGCCAAGGCAGAGCTGAAAATAATCTGCAATTTTTAACAGTAACTGCGTGCAGATGCTGCAGAAAAATAATAATAACAAGATTAAGGGGTAAACATACGAAAAAATATACAAAGCTCCGTTCCTCCGAAAGTATTGATACCCTCCTCGAGGGTGCATTTAATTTCAACAAAAAACAACCGCAAAGTAAAATGATTTCTTCAATAGAACTAATTAATTATTATCATTCTAGTGCCTAAGAATGATGTTGAGATTGTCCTAAAAAGTCTAGATATCATAGGAATTTTCAGTTTAAAACAATCTTAATCTGCAAAAGCATTGCCAATTCATTCAAAACAACAAAAGTTACTCCAGCTCTTATAGTCGTAGAGTCCTTTTACTCTACGATTCTAGAGTAAATGTATCAGGCATCCTTCTTGCATGCTAAGAAAGTTGGTTTACAAAGCACAGATGGGGCTGAACAGATGATGAGAGTTATTGAAAGGATTGCAGGGGGAGAGAATGAAAAGCGTTAGCTGACCCTCGCTCCTCGCCCACCCACTGCCATTTAAAACGAGGCGCTCTTGACCATACACAAAACTTGTCTAGCTGGAAAATGAAAAATGTGGCTGTGAAAAACGAGAGGGCAACGGGAAACACAACGAGTGGACTGGCAGCGAAAAGGAAAATGTGAAACACGTTTATTGCCATTCATTATATTCTCGCGAGCTGTTGCGCAAAGTAATGAAGCACTTTTATACGAGGCAGCTCCTCTTTCACGCCCACACCACTCAAGCCACTGCCGACATGTTTTTGCTTTTCAAAAACACAGGACGAAAGGGGAACGTGGCCCAGAGTGACGAGCCATGATGATGGTATGGTGTGGCTCTTAAGAAAAATCGCTGACTGTCTTGGCCTAGAGTGGAAATAATAATGGAATGGCCACTGCAGTTTGGTGGAAAGTGCGTGCGTGCCAAAGGAACTACAACCAATTTTCATTAAATGAGCTCTCTCTGTGCCGCCAATACATCTTCATTAATTTTGAAATAATGTATGGCATGTTTGTGCAGACATTTGGTCGAAGCTTCTGTCTTTTTTTTCACGGGAATGGCAGTCAGACCACGATAAAAACTGAAAACTTGTACTTAACTTTAGCGGCGCACATTTGTCTCATCCGACGGGCAAATGAATGTGGGTTTCCCCTTTTTGGAAGGGGAACCACAACAGGATAGAAGGCCTTCAACAAACAAAGGATCGTGTTCAAGGTCCGCACGCACACATTAACAGTCGTGGCTTTTGTTGGCCCGGGTCATGTCACTCTCAATATAGTGGCAAGGTATCCGCTAAGCTAAGCTGCTCCCCGCCGCCTGATTGTCAGTCGGCTTGATTGATAATGTAAGCTGAGCAGGACACCCCCAGTAGCCACTCCACCCAATCTCATCATCGTTATCCCCGGCTATTGAGTGCGTATCCGTCCACTCATCTCCGAGCAGTGGCAGGGAAATAAAAGTCGGACTGTAGTCGGGTCTAGGCGAACATCTTATCGATTTTGCAGCTTACAAGTTCTTGTTATCACTCACGCCAATGACCCAAATGCCCATTGAAATCGTTATTTTGATGGGAGTTTTCCTGGGAAATGGAATTGTTATTGAATAATTTGCTATTTCTTTTGATTATTTCCAAGTACAAAAACCTCTCTTCTCTTGTTTAAGAAACATTTTGAAAAACACCATCTTCGAACTTGAACGTATAATCTAATACATGGTTAATATGTGTAAATACTATTTAAAATATTTAAATTAAACAACGTTAAATCTTAAAAATTATAGATTTGGAAGGATTTTAGATTTGTTACAAAAGATTCACACTCCAAATAATTTAAACTGACTTAACCATTGAAATTAACCAAAACGAAGTCTGTTCAGGGTTTCTAAAATAAATTCTCCATATCCCCAAGCTGATCCAATTGTTTGATTTTTGTAGAAAATACTTCCAAGAACTTAAAGGGATTTGAAAATAATTTCCACTACCATTTTCGATTACTCTGGGGCAGGACCCCCAAAGTCCTGTGTGTGATCCGACCATAACAGTTGGCCCAATCCAAATCGCTTTCTGTGGCAGCGAGAGTCGAGGTAGGTGGTGCCCCCCCGTTAACACCACCGTTTTGCCACATGAGCTTCAATGGTTGTTCGGAACACTTCTCCTCTTTTATTGTTGTTTCTTCGCCCCCTCCAACTAGAATGTGGCTAGTAGAGTGGCAGAAGTGTAGCCACTAGAATGGGCCAAGTAGAATGGGATAGGTGTTCTGCCTGGCGATTGCTGCCAGACACAGTTGACCATTCGATATTGGCCATGTGGGTGGGACAGCTGCAGCATTGTGTTGTATTGTTGCCAGCTGCCCCATGTTGCATTCGGGCTGCCTTGGAGCTGCTACAACCGATTTCCAAACGCTGTAACGAACCTTTGTTGTGCCCTTGAAGAGAGTATTGTGAAATTTTCAAGATGAATGCACTGCAGTGAAGCAAGCTCGTACTCCTATTGGAGCCATGGTTCGGCAAGGGTATCTTGTGATTCGGCTAGCCTCAATTTTTGGTTTGACTTAGAAGGGGTTTTGGGTAATGGGGAGTTGTGCTCTGCTGCCTGTCGACTGTTGAATGGACAGTTGGCTAGTTGGCTGCTTCCTGGGGCCTCCTGCCAGTTCGATTGTAATTATTCTACAGTTCAACTTGTTGGTTCGCTGGCTAATGCGTTTTGCCATTGCACTTTGTTACATTTAGCCCCTGTCCCTGTCCTGGAAATTGTTCTCCCTCTCTCCTTCTCTGTGTGCGGGTGAGTGTATCTGTGAGTGTCTGTGGGTGTATCTGGACATTCACAGATGGGCGATGTGAAAAGCGCATTAGCAACAAGCCGTTATCAAAGTTTTTGCAGCTCGTGTTGCAAATGGTGCGTGTTATTTATTAACTGGAATGGTATATCAGCTGGGCGTGGCCCATCTGCAGGCCATGTGCGGACCAGCAAGGAATCTCATAATCTAAGCCAACACTTTTCATTTGCATTTACGCAACGCTGACAATTACACTGACTTTTCGAAACATGTCTTTAAAAGTGAAAAAAGTTTCAGGAATCAGGAATATGAAACTAGAGTTTAGTTTAGTTTAGTTTTTATATTTGCATGAATTTTCCTATCCTTAGACTAGTCTCATGTTTATGCAACGCACAGTAATAATTCTGGCCATTGTCAGATTGCTGTTTTGGCCCTGGGCTAAATGCACTCTTGAATGTACGAGTATCCAAAGGAGTCTCTCTCTGTCTCTTTCTTGCCCAGAAGAACATACATACTGTCATGTGGACATGCCACACAATCACTTCGTTACAAACGCTGTCTGTCTTTGTCTCTGTCGGTTCCTCTCTTTTGTATTGCAATTTTAATTTCCGCTTTCACTTTGTCTAGATTCAGTTTTACTTGTCGCCGTTTTCTTTTGTGTTTTAGCATTTTCTCTCCCTGTCTCTGGGGCAAAGATGAGTACGAGTATGAGGACTCACTTCCCATCTCATCTCATATCATTTCCCTGAACACAAACCGCCGAGGGCTGTCTTTGTCTTGGCATTGTGGCATTTGCGTTTTTGCTGATTTACACATTTTGGGGGCAGTGCGAGGGAGTGTGTCTTTCCTGCCACGGCCAGCACGTAGCTCATGGCTTGCGGCATGTGGCACGTAGCACGCATGCAGCTCTGGAGCTTTTTGTTGCAGGCGAGGCGCAGCGGGCAAGAGCCGGCAGCTGTTTTTCAATTTTCCGCCTCAACTGTTGACGCAAAAGTAGTTCAAAGTGGTTCCATGGAATATACTACTCGTACAACCAGATGAAAAAGAATAATACATGAATATGCATGTCCCCCTTCCACGCTGCCCCATAATTATTCCACACACACACACACACACGAGTAGCATGTACTTTCATTATGGGGATGTACATCTTTTGTGGCACACATTTCAGCTGATGTTTCCATTAGGGCCACGGCACGGCGCTTATTACTGGCCAGCGAGAAACCAAACATCGCGGCAGAAAAACGCCGTGGGAATTGAATTTCCCTCGGACTTATATGAATGGCTGCCATATGTTCTCTTTGGTGTATGTCCAAAGGTGAGTTTTTGTGGAGCCAGTCAGGTAATTTCAGACATTTTCTGGGCCCTCTTATACCCAGTACTGAAAGCAGTCAGGGCTATGTTATTTTTGTGGAAATTTACGCCGTCATTACCTTTGCCAGCATATAAAGTTATGCTTGTTTTTTGACGATAAGCAACTTTCATATGAATAGATTATGTGTAGAGTTATAGGCCACCTATAAAGCCATAATTATGATCAAACTAGTGTTAAAGTCACAATAAAGACAAAAATCTACGGTGAATGCCAACTTAATTTCTTGCAACATTTTCTGCTCAGTTTCCGAATACGAGGTACCTCATAGTCGTATTATGAACTACAAGCCTTCTTACAGGTTTTGTGTTCTGGTTTAGCACTGCTCGTTTGGCGCTCTCTGGTGTCCCTTTTTATGCCGGGACCAAAGACGACAAACGTTTACATCTGGGATTTGCATGTGCTGCATGAACTTTTTGCAATTCTGGTTTCCCCAACTCGGTTTTTGTTGTGTCTTTATCTCGCAGATTTGAGCGTCATATAAAATTTATGCGTGTGGCTTTTATGTGCTTACACCTATGTATATTCAGGTGGTGTTTGTGGCTGGCTTTACTAGTGTTATATGTTTTATGGGGTCCACTGGCCTTGGTTCTCAGGTGGCGGGGAAAAAAACCCAAATAATTAGGACAGACAACAGAGACAGCACACATCACTGCTGGGACTCCTTGAGCCAGGGCTTATTAAAGTTGTGGATGAAATATGGCAGAGATTCCTTTTGCAGACGATATTATTGGAATTAAAAGTGGAAGCTAGTCCTTCATTATCTTCCTTTGAAGCTTCCCCAAGTCCTTCATTACCTGCCCTTTTCCTGGCTCTTTTGATTAACTTTTTCATTGAGTTTACTGGGATAGACACTCCTCGAAATGAGCCCACAATATAGCCGCTTTTGATCTGTCAATATTGAAGAAGCTCAAATCGCATCCACCCAAAAATCCAGCCTCACTGGGAAAACAATAAATCCAATAAATTTAGCTGCACAGGCAACAGCTGATGGTGGAAAAGTTTTGCCTATGCCCACGCTTTGGGAATGATTACAAAACCATGGCCCCGCCCACACAACCCGCCCCAGCTTAGAAAAGTTTTGAGGAAATATCGTACTGGCAGCACTTTCAATAAGCAATTTGGTTAAGTGCTGCCTCTGACAGTGCCTCTGGCTCCGGCTCCGGCACTGCCACGGTCCTTCCTCGTTCTGTCGGCATTGTCAAACCAATGCCATCAATATGACTAATCATGCATATATTTCATAAAGCTGTAAATCCTCCCAATCCTCCCAATCCTCTCTTTCTGAAATCGCACACAGCTGTTACACCCAAATTGAGTCAAGCCACAGAATTCACTTTGCATTCGCTGAGGGGCGGGGAGGCGTTTCAGGCATTCGGGGATTATTAAAATTACGCATACGCCGCGTTTTAAATGAAGTGCACGACCAGAGATGGAGGGGAGGTGGAACGTACTACTACGTGGGAAATGAGGTTGCCAGAGTCAACCATTAATATTTAAACGTGCTGCTCAAAATGTATGTGGGCGTGGCACGCACACACACCACACACGCCCCCCGGTGTGTGGGGGCGGGATTGGCATTGGATTTGTGTGAGTAATGCGGAAAATTATGCCTTTGTCTATGACTGACTGGAAAATTAACTTGGAGGCAGCAAAAGAATATATAATTAAAAAGAGCTGGCATAGGAAATACTGTTGCTGATGAGATGGAACCTTCTAGATTTAATTGGGAACTTAAGATACTCGGATGCATACGCTAAATTAGGGTTGAATAATAGGACCTACAGTTTTTAAACAAGACTAAAGAATTTAAAAATACGTTTATCTGAAACACTTTAAAGAATATCATAAAATATTTACCATTATATGAAAATATTCATACTCATTTATTTAGCAAGATTGCAAAAATTTGTTTAAAGACAAGGCTATTGGCTTAAGTTAGTGCCCAAAATACAGTATATAGTCAATAATAATTGACTTAATACACTTCTCGGCAACAGCTCTACCCTTCTCATTCAGATCCATAAAAGGGCTAACCAACCCTAGAAGCAGTAAAAAGGAGCCGTAATAATCCTTGCATTGCCTGGCATTTTAATTTTTATGAGCCCGATTTGGCCGCAGGCAAAGGCAGAAGAATTAAGGCTCGATTGCCCGATTCATTTGCCGCCTCCGTTTCGGCAATGAGCCGTAAAAAGGACAGCAACAAAAACGACAGCAGCAGGAGCAGCAGCAGCCGCCGCCGCCTCAGTTTTATCTGGCTGGGAAAATTCCCAGAAATTTTCTTTGGCTGAACGAGCAGCCGGAGCCTGAACAAATAGGCTACTGCCTGCGGTTGTTGGAGAGGGTTCCCGGAGCCGGTTGGCTCTGCATAAATTAAAATATGTAATGTGTTATGTGCATGGCCCAATAGAGAGCTTTGGCATAAATTAAGCATCAGTTGGCTGTCGTTGACCCTGGCTATATGTAAATATATATACTGATGCTGATATATACTCTTTGGTGTACTTTCAGCTCATCGTGGAGATCAACAGCCATGTGGCACTGTTCCGCGATATGCTGATACACGTGGGGCAGGCCAAGGATTGCCCCGAGCTGCGCGAGAAGATACGCAAGCTGCGTCGCACCTGCGTGGAGGCATTCAAGCACACCGCCCAGATACTCCTGCCGCAGGTCAAGAGGTAAGCACATACTCGTACCATCTGCCACCATGCATCCTCCTATCTGAACAAGATTCGGGTACCCTCAAGGGATCCCATTAACATAAACATAAACAGCATCGTGTGTGTGACATTTTGGGACCTTCTTCTCCGTTTCCGTTTTCGTTTCCGTCTCTCTATCTGTTTGTGAGTGTTTTATGGAAATGTATGCAAATCTAATTGCAGTCAAATTTACTAGAGCGCCCAAAGAATGATGGATGGAGACTGGGCTGTGGGTGAAAGGGATAACATAAATAACAATTTGTTGGACTCGGATTGAAGCCTCCCGGTATGCTCTCGAAATGAGCTAGTGGCCTGACGTTGAAATTCAATTTTACAATGCTGCATAATTTATCAGCTGTTCCCTCTACACAGAGGATGAAAGTAGTGTGGGGCAGGACCCTCCCTTTCCTGAAGGCAAAAGTGAAAAGCATTTTTGTAAGCTGCCTCCGGAAAGCACAATGCTTGGTAATTTTTTTTTTCATTAAACCTTTTGAGAGGAAATATTTGCGATTGCAGCTACATAGGAAAAGTATTGTGTGAAAGGAAAATTTGTTCAGCAAGGGAGCTCGATTGTAACATTGGCACTCGCAACAGCTGCCACCCATCAATATGATATAGATGCACTCTAGAGAGCTCCAGTTTCAGTTGTGTGTCATCTGGAATCGAGCAAAACTTTAACATTCCCGTTGACTTTTCGGGGGTCCCCCAGCTCTGGGCTGTCTGTTTACCGACTTCAATTTATTGATTTATGCCCTGGCCGAAGCATAAAATGTTACAAAATTGAAATCCCATGTGGATGCCACACATATGCCATTATCACACCCCAAAAAATGACAGAGACAGAGCCAGAGACAGAGCGAGAAAGATAGAGACCAAAAAACTTTTTTTTTTAGCAAACAACTTGAGGAAATTTTCATATACATAAAATATTTGTAATTTCCGACACACAATCCATAGAACGTGCTGTCCTGTCAGAGTGTTAGGTGTCAGTCATATGTTTTTTTTGGGGGTAGAACTTTTGAAGCACACCCCGGCGGCATATGACAATGTGATTTATTATCGAGCAGACGCTTTAAATGTCACTCTAGAGTGAAGAAATGTCAATATAACGAGACGAGCATCCGCATCAGCATTTCGTCGATATGTATGGATGAGTGTGTGTGCACGTAGGCAAAAGTGCAGGACCCCAAGGAAATGGCAAGGAATGAAAGCAAAAGTAAGAGAAACTCTGGAGAAAACGACAGTTAAATTGATGATTGGCTGACTGCCAAGCCAGAGACAGCAGCAAAAACAGCAGCTCCAAAAAAAAAGAGATTTCAATTAATTTCTGCTTTATTGACACAAATGAACGACTCCGAAGAGCAGCTTGACTCAGTCGTCCTCCTACATTTCGGGATACCATTGAGCAGGTTCCATTTTCGAATGGGGGCACATGGCGTATGAGTGACGACAATGAATTAGCGAAGCGACAGAGGCTGCTCCTTTACGGTCCTCAGCTGGGGCTGAAAGTTAAATTGAAAGTAAAAGTTGAAAAAAGCAAAAAGTATGCTTTGAACAGAATGAACAAAAGGGAGCAAAAATCGAGTGGAGGAAGGAAAAACTTCAGACGCAACTCGACAATGACACGGCCAAAACTTTCAGACAGTGTTTCCTTGTTTGGTTGTTTGCTGCTGTTTTATGTTTTGTAAACACATGCAAGACATACGTGGATGTCAGACAGCCAAAGTCAAAATACAACTCGATAGAGAGAAGGAACACCACACACGACAAGAAAGAGAGATAAAAGAACAGGCAAGCAAGAAATACATTCAGTTGGCAGTCTTACCATACAGAATACTAAACACCCTACAGGAAAGAAGTATTAAAAACAGATAATAATTGGGAGATCTTGAAATTGCCTGAAGATTTTGGTAAAGCCAATTTTCTTTATGTATTTTGTAAGCAAAAACCACCTTCAACAAAGCCGAAAAGTTTTCATTTATAATAAGTAGAAGTCCCATTTAGCTACCACTTTTATGGTTGCCTTAGACAAACATCATGACAAAGTTGTAATGCCTGGTGGCCCACATGCCAGCAAATGTTTTGGCTTTGCCTTCGAGGGCGCGAAAGACAGACAGAGAAAAAAGCTCGAGTCGGCTCGGCTCCGACTACCTTGGAATAGACACTCTGACATTCGCTTTGCTCGAGTCATACCCATTTCCACTTCCACCTTCAGTTCCATATCCATTCCAGAGGCTCGAGAGGGTGGCAGCACTTTGCCGACTGCCTTAAGTGACTGATAGTTGTTTGCCTGGTTGTTTGTTTGCCCAGTCGTACATACATATCCTTGGAGGCGACGTTCGGTCCATTTCCCGTGTTTGAGTTTGTCTTCCTGTTATCTATCCATCTGTCTATTTGCCTTCGCTTACTTCGCATTTGTTTTGCTGTTTGTCCTGTAGTTATGTGCAGTTGTTAGTTGTTGCTAAATTACTATCGCCGTCGCAGCCGTCGCCTTTGTTTTAACTACTGTCTTCGCCTTGGATCTGCTGTTTTGACAGCAAGTAAGTCACCAAAATCCTAGGCTCGGGGCCCTAACCAATCCCGTCTGCTGGGCTATGCAACGTCACGTTTGTGTAAGCGCATTTCCTCTGTAAATAATACTCGGACGTCTGCTCAGAGTCGTTCGTCCTTGGCAGTAGTCTCTGTGCAGTGGTAGCATTCCCACGGCACACAATTGTTTACGGCCCGAGAGAAGAACATAACACAAGGATTGTGCCCCTCGGGTACCCCATCAAAGCTAAAGCCAATCTCATAGACGTTGTCGATGGCGTTGTCTTCGGCTATGTGTCGGAAATTTTATGTTTCCTGCAACTGCTGCGACCACTGCACGGTGGGACAGTAGCGGGAGAAATGGTATGAATCTGAGTGAAATCCAAGAAATCCAAGCGGTGGAGACTTATAGATAAAATTGAACTAGGGGATATCAACAGATCTGAGATGTGGTGGCTTTGGATGTTTGAAGATGAATTTATATAGAAGAGATAAAAAAAAAAGAATTTGATTATGCGGCATGAAAAAAGAGGTACAAATAAAATCGAACTGACGAAACTGATTTAATATTTTTAGATATAAAATATCTAAGATTTGGAAAGAAAATTACGGATCTAGCACTGTTTACACTTCGATATGAAAAAGATTGTGGGACCACATTTACCTGACATGATTTCCATTACCCCAAATTCAACGCATGTACACCATTCCATTCCATAGTCCTTGGATTTGCTGCTCCTTCTGCTTTTGTTGCATTGTTTTATTGTCGCTGTCGGCAATTTCGTTTATTATTTCGACACTTGATGCCGGTTCCGGGACACCGGATGATGTTCTGTGGTCTTGTTAGTGAAAATGACAGCATATTATTGAAAGACTGGACTCCCCGCACACCATCCCTGAAACTGGGTCAAGTTTTGTCATCACGGATCGTCACGTCATGTAGCTGAAGACTTTCTTTTTTTGTATGAATTTTGTTTCCCTTAAATGTCAGCTGGGTGGATGGGCAACATCGTAAATTGCGGCCATTTTAACAACTTTATACAGGCTGCAGTTAATAACTTCGATTGGGCAGACAAAACAGCATTGAGATCCTTTGATAAAAGCGCTTTATGAACCTTCATCCCTGCGTACATTTCTGCAATTTTCACCAGAATTTCCTTGGGTCGTTTCGCGTTGGGTCTAGCAGTGAGGAAAAATAAAAAATATTTCACTGTTATTTGCAATAAATGAATGTAACGTCCAAACTGTAATCAAGACCAGCTGCTGACAATGGTCTGCCCCTTCACAATTTTCCTTATTTTTTGTTTGGGTCTCCTCTGTTCTGTTTGCCCTTCGCTCCTAGCCTCCATTTTTTCTGGGGGGTTTTTGGATGCTTTGCAGATTTCGTTTCGTTGCTTAAACTTATTATTGCGATTTTGTTGGTGTTGTTGGTGAAAATGACCCACGTTAATGTCCGCGCACCGCAATCCGCCAGAATAACGAGAGATGGTCCCTTCCACAAAGAAAGAGAAAGGTGGGGAAATCATTAAAACATTTGCTCTCTGGCATTTACAGCTTGCAGTTTTTCACAGAAAATCGCTTAGCATTAATTTGATTACATTTTAAGCATATTAAATGTCCTGAAAGTGTTCTCTTCTTTTGCTGTTGTTACAATCAATGGTAATGTTCAAAACAGCAACACGAGAGGGTATCATGATTCGAGGGAACCGGTGGAACCTTTTTAGTAACGAACTTATACATTTTACGAGTGCTAAAGGAGAATTTCTGCTGTGTTTTTATCTATCTTGCAAAATGGTTCTATTATTATTTAGAAGGAATCTTATTCTATTCTTTAGGTGGCACCTAAAGTACTTTTATAGTACTTCTAGTACTTCTAAACAAAATGGGTTGCTTAGTCAAAAATTAATAATTAATTAACTTATACTATTCGACTAAACAGCCCTATTGCTTCCCAAATATGTGGGACACTTCCACATGCATCATACTCCCAACATATTTGGTAGGAAAAATGGTGTTTTGTCGATTAGTATTATTAATAATTTCTGAGGAAAATAATAATTAAAAATTAATTAATACTAATCGACTAAACAGTTTTCCCAAATATATGGGTAAATTGTTTCCCAAGCTATTATTTTCCTCATAAACAGCCCTTTTGTTTCCCACATATTTGGTACTCTTTTACACAAAAACCACAATCAAAAGACAAACTGTCCTTAGCCGTGGAGTATACTAATCACAAATAAACTTCCGCTTAATATTTAATAATTATTAATTCATAATTTCCTCAGAAATTATTAGTAATACTAATCGACTAAACAGCCCTTTTGCTTCCCACATATTTTGGACTTTTTTTTAACAAAAAACACACACAAACAAATTGTACTTAGCCTATTCCACCACCAATCAAATTGCGCTTGAGAGCCCTCCGAACCCACATCTAAATCGCTTTAAGCTGAATCCTCACAAAAACTCTCCCACACTCTCAGAGGTGCAGACCTACACACACACACACCTTGGGAAAGATTAATTCGCAATTTATTTGCTTTAATGCCTGCCAGAAGGAGGTCGGAGTCGGAGTCAGAAGACACGGCAACACTTTTAGTGTCAGCTGGGATGGGGGGTAATTCTGGTAAAATATGTATATATTTCTCATTTCCAGCTATGAGGCACCACTCGCTCCACAGAGTTTAGGCAATGCAAAAGCAATTTTACAAATTGAATTTATTCCTGTGTTGCTGTAAATATGTTTATGGCAATTTATATTAGGGTTCCATTCCCTGCGACTTGGGAGTGAGTTTTGCATACCCCACTCATAATTGCCCTGTCTGTGTCGCAGTGCTCTTTCTAGAACTGAAATTAATGTCAACTAAGCAGCAATTTGCGAACCGACTGTAAATTCCGACTGTTTTCCAAATGAATTATGCCACTGTTCTCTGGGAATCCGAATCGAAAGAGCTTTGCATAAATTATTTTGGGGCGTGTGGCGGAAAATTAAAATTAGTTTCTGGTGCTGATCATAGATTACACAAAATTATAGCTTACTCATCCAGCAGTGTCCAATTGAAATTAATGGAACATTATCCGGGTGATACGTTATAGTTTTCTTTAAAGTCTAATATATTAGTGGGGAATGTTACTATGTCTTAGCTGAATCCTTCTTGCTTCAGTAGTTGTCCCCTAATTTAGTTTCCATCTTTTAAAAGTCCATAAATTGTATACAACTTTGGCAATCCGCAAAAAAATCAATTGCTACATAAGAACACAAAGTTGAACTGCAAATTAAAAAATCGAACATTTCGTTTAAAATGTCGGACGGAAATGAATTAGTTTGTCGCCACTTGATGACCCTCGTTCTGAGCTCTCACCCACGTCATAAAAAATGTCATAAATTCATACAAATTTCATTCCACAATTTCCGCATGCAATTTGGCGTGCCACAAATGTGGCCCACACAATGCGGCATTCCAACTCTGCAATATCCCACACACATATGTATATGCAATGGTAATATACATACATACATATATACAAATAGCTAAAGAGAGATGTTCATATTACCTTGGCATGCCATTGTTTTTTTTTCAGCGCCATGGCCGATGGCATACTCACCGACAACCCGCACTTGGTGCTAGTGTTCTACATGGCCCAGTTATTCCTACGTGAACTTGTGAAAAGTTATCGTCTCATACAGGTCGTGCCAATGGATATGTCTGGCTATTATGGTAAGTTTAATTCCGCACCAACGCACGATTTGCCCTACATGGGTGGTGCACCCGCACCGCACCCATCACTGGGGACTGGTGGGCATTTGGTTGAGTTTTGGTTGGGTTGCTAGTTGGCAGGAGACATGTTTCAGCTGTCGCCTTGCAGTTGCGGGTCATTGAAAATTTGCTGTTGTTAGCAAATGTCAAAGTCAGACATGGACCCTGGCACTTGGAGTTGGGTTTCGGGCTACATAATTGGTACAAACTGGGTGCTTCCGTTGCCAATTGGATTCAGTAATGTTGAATACTTGTGGAACATTTGAAATCAGTTTATCTTATAATTTATGGAAATGGAGCAAGGGTATTTTAATTACTAGCCAAAAAGTCTTTGATTAGCATCCTTCAAAGATACATACACAGATCGTAATTACCATACGATAAGCGAATTAATTAATAGATGATTTATACTGATTGATGTTCGATAATATTCATATTTCAATATGGAATCAAAGGACAAAAAAATATATTCGTGACAATATATTGCACTTTTTGAATGCTCCGTGGAAGTAACGTCTCCCTGTGTCTGCCCTCACTCGCCCACTCACTTACCATCTCCTCATCAAACAAACACTCGGAGGCACACACGTTCAACAATTGTTTGGCAGTGAAGATGCATTCCACTCGAGTGCAGCTCGCTCTGATTGGCATTCTTTGCCCATGTTTAATGTGGACGTGCGAGTGCAAATATACACATGAACGTGGACAGGGATTCTGACTGATTTGTGCCCGTGCTGACCATGGCAATTGTCGGGGAATACAAATGCGAATGGCAAATGCCAATTGCTGATCATAAATTTTTAAATTGCAACCGCTGCACTGAGGCTGGATACCCGCTGTCAATACGCAGTGCGAGAGAGAGTGAGAATAAATATTTACAGAATTTCTGCCAGAGTCAGGTTCGGCGCTTTTGGTCCTGGCCCTGTTGTTGCATCCAATTTATGGCCATCTTCTCCCCATCCGTATCCCCCCGGTGAAAACAAACAAAATTTCTGCAGTGCCATGAAAATGCCATCAACGCAGAAAAGACTATAAAAAATTCAAAAATTGAAAACGATTTTTTTTTTTGGTCTTTGCTGTTGTAATTTCCAACAAAAATTATTCGCAATATCAGCTGGGTAAAGACAGCTTTATGCTTTATGTGGGCCTTTAATTATTGCCATGCAAGCAAATATTCATTGGATTCCAGTGCTTAAATCGAACAAGAATAGGGATACTGCTGGGTATTTGGCGCACTAGCTCGTACCTAATACTATGATTGAACTATGAAACGAATGGAAAACAAAGGGAAATAGACCGACCATCCAGAAAAGAACCTTTGAGGACACACGTACAGCTCTGTGCTTGTCCCTTTTTTATGAGAGTTGATCTGCTCATCTATTAGTCAGACTTATACATCATGACAAATACAACACACCCTTGTACACTTCGAGCCAAGGGTATGAAAAATAACAGGCATTGAATGGTGCCATTGCCAACTCGTGCATTCAATGTATTTGTATTTGATATATGAATATTGCATATACACTAAAATGGATTGCAATGCATTGAAGTTTGAAGCTCAATTGTTTTTGAAGTGACAGAATCACTAAGTAATTAAATCGACTATTTTTCATGAAGATTGATGCATGATCGGAGAGACTGATGGCTGTATATGCAGCTATCAATCAAAGGCGAAAAAGTCACAAAATTCCCATTTGTGAATGTGGATGCATTGACAAGTAAATATGCATATTTATTTTGAATTAAAAATTTGGAAATTACAAAATATATAAATACGAGTATATTTCACCAAATCAAAGTCATAAATATTTGGCTATTAAATTAGCCAAATTTTAAGTCCAAAATAGGTTTTGAGGAATAAAACAGTCAGTGAAAAAAACATCAAAGAGCCCGAATATATCCCACCATCTAATGAAGCTACAAAAAGGCTGGGAATAGCACGAAAATAAATAAATTTAAAAAAAGTAAGGAAAAGCAAACCTCAAAGGAAAATGTTTGCATACAAATGAATGAAACAAAGAAATGCGAGTTCTTGTTTGTGGCTGCGGCAAAGCCAAACAAAATAATTCATTTTATTGCAATGCAAAGGAGTTTTTTTGAATAGAGCCCCGACTTGCAGCTTCGCTGCTCTGTCCCGGCTTTGTGCGGGGCAAGTTGCAAGTGAAGCTGGGTAGTGTAGAGGAGGGCGGGGTTCGGCCAACCACTTGACTGTGGGATATCACTTTAGCTTATCACTGTATTCTGATTTATGTCTGCATTTTCGCACCATAGAGAACCGCGCGGGGCCCTCGAATCTGGGGAATGTCATAAGCCAAATATTGTTGTGCAAACAATTTACGCCCGACTTCAATGAGGAGGAATTGTGCAGCATCACCAAAGACTCGCAGGACATTGCCGTTCTGCTATCCGAGCTGCAGGAGTACATGCCACAACATGAGGCATATTTGGGTGAGTACTCGTATGCGCAGGCTCCCCATTACTGCTCCTGCTGTGGCTGTTGCATTGCCATAGTCGTGCACTTTGATATTTAGCCAAGGCCCGACAACAGTGGCACTCAGCGGAGACGAGAGACCGGAGGCCGTTGGGCAAACAAAATTGTATAGCATACAAAAAAGGGCAAAGCGGCGACCCAGCCATTAGTGTAAATGTGTCTCTCTGTTTGTGCTGTTGTATTCAGGGACTCACACAGCCTCATTCATTAATCAAACTAAATGTCGGCTACTCTTTCATTTGCTGTTTGCAGAAAGGAACGCAGCCCTGGACACCACTGGACCCTGGCAGGCCAAGAGGCGCCAGAACTATATCTGCAAGAACATGAGCCTACTGTGCTGCGTTTCCAGGCCCAACTATCTCTGAGAGCAGCCCGACAGTGTGTAAGCTCCAGAAATGGTTCCCAGAACACAGACACACTCATACACTACTTATATCAATTACTAAGCTAAGAATAAGATATATTCATTCTTACCAATAGAACATGTTATAGAAGGAAGTATGAACCTCTAGAAGGAAAAGAAACAGAGCCAGAAAAATGTATAAAAAAGATGTTCCAGCAGAGTCTCTGAAAACCATAGAAAAAGTCCAAATGGGAGACAAAAACATATAGAAGTAATTGAATGGAGAAAAAATCTATAGACAAGAGGCCCAAAGAAGAATCTGTAGAAAGAGAATTCTAAGCATATAGAAGAACTTCGCGAAGCGAGCCAGAAATAAAACAGCAAGCTGAGGAAGAGCATTGTATTATAATCAAAGAAAATGCAAAGGATGCAATATTTATCTTAATGTGTATAATCAAAGTTAATTATGCTGCATATACAATATTAATGTAAAAGGAATTAAAGAAAAAATATAGAGATACTATATACATATATAGAGAATTGAATTAAAGAAAAAATATAGAGATACTATATACATATATATAGAATTCGAACTATTAGAGTTCAGCAAACATTTATGGAGAATATAACTAGCATATAAAGCCAGTTAAGACTTTTTAGGCCTGTAAATTATAGTCACTGTATAGACACACACATTATTTATCATCTACTAAAGTTATCTAAATACATAAATCCTTGAGTTAACATTACGACTGGGCTTAGATCGAGGAGGACTTGGTGCTGGGAGCAAGGCAGTTAGGTTGTAGTTCCATATGAATGTAGCCTTCGTAATTAAGTTAAAAGCCTCGCCAGGCAAGTGCTAAACCAAAAGCAATAAAACACATTCTTGTTAAATCAAACACTAAAACTTAACAACAAATATAAATCTATTCGAAATGTCTCTAGGTTTCCGTTTGTTCATTTCAAGGTTTTCATGCACAGTACCTAAGCAAAAAAAACACAAACAAAAAACAAAAAACGAGCAACAAACAAGCAACATGTGACCAATGAAAATATAACTAAACAAAGGATGAACAATCTATTTTAAAACTATGGTTTATTCAATCAAAAATACCCTGAAATAAAATGAAACAAAAAATTCCGAGGAAATAAATGAGCAAGCAATGAATTTCAATCCAAAAAGTTTTTGTACATTTTAATTAAACAAAATTAGGTTCCCGAAAAAGTTAGAAATACTCAAGTTTTTTCAAGTAGTCACAAAATGAAATAATATTATGGGTCAATTAGTAGTGTTTTGTGGAGAGCTTACAGAAAAGTTCTTCCGTTCACCAGGTCCCCACCATATATTTAAGCTGACTCTCCCGCTTCCCCAATACAAATATAACACATTTATTTTCATTAAGCTGACTCGACGAAATGCTGCCTGTAATAATAAAATACAGCAATTGGTTGCAAATGAATTTATTGCAAGGTCGAAATGAATAATTATAAGTTGATTATGTTTTGGTTGAATTGAAATGGCATTACCATTTAAATTTGTTGTTGTGCAAATTAAAATATGCTTTTAAGGACCGGATAAGCTCGGTTTAATATTAAAAATTCATATGCTACCGCTGCTTAAAAAAATTGAAAGCAAAATTAAAAACATACATATTTCATGGTAATGTTTTCGTTTTTATTTTGTATGTTCTGCATTCTTAATGCCAATTAAGTGAACGATATACAACTTTTTTGAACTGCCTGGAGCGGGGAGAATTTTTGTATTGTAAATCAATTTTCAGGGCAAACAAAAAAAAAATAATCCATCAACGGCCCCGCTGCAGCAGACAATGGAATTGTACAATTCTGTAAGAATCCCCGAAACACAATGAGACAAGTGCATGGCAAATATTTGTAAAATGTTTGAGCTCAACAATGGAAATAAATAAATATATCTACTATTACAAAAAAACAAAAACAAAAACAGAGTACAGAGAAATTCTATTCGTATAAGAAATATAATAAAATATATTTATTTATTGATTCAATTCGATTCTAGGCATAAATCAAACACCAAACAAATTTACACGTATTTAGAGAAGATAGAGTTCGATAGAATGTTTATTATATTGATAATTATTTATCTGTATATGAATGTATATTGCTTAGATCGTTGAAATAAGTATTCCATCAAAACCAATAAAAAATCAACTCGTGATTGTTATATGATATTCATATAAGGATTATTTGTATGTATTTAATAATTGTTTCCTCATGTTGTTTGCATCCAAATGCCACTGAGAAGCAACTAGAAAACTCACACAGAAACACTAGAAACAAAGAAAAACCGAAAACCAAAACTGGGTACCAATCAAATACATATAAATAAAGCTATTTTTAGAGAAACTAAAATCTAAAGGATTTTCTTTATTTTCTGTTTCCTTAAAGCCCTGAACAAATGGAAGAAAAAAGCGTTAAATTGCGGGCCAACGTGTAACGCAAAATTTATTATACTTCATAAAAGAGCGATTAATGTTTATAGATGAGATTCTATCACGAACACCCAAGCCACGATATAAGGGTATATATACATATTTAAACGCACGGATGGGAGGTAGCTGACTGTTCTTGATGGTTCGAGTCGGTGTTACCTCTTCCTAGAGCTAGATGGCTACTAAAAGAAGATGGGATGAATGGGAATTCAGACATTTGCCTTAATTTGTTGATTTATTTATTTATTTTATTCCAAATTGTGCGTTGCTTGTTCAATGCTACAATTAAATAGCTTAAAATGGCTTCTTCTTAAATAATCAAATAATTCGTAACTCAGAAAATTCTCCCTTTTTCTTTCTGTTTATATTTCTCCACGTAACTCAGAAAATTCTCCTTATTTCTTTCTGTTTTTATTTTTCCACGAAATATATACTCTTCTATATGTTTTCCCATTACATCAGCTGTATAAAATGGTTAAGCTAAAACGCTTCAGGGCCTGCCCGCCAGCTGAGGCTACGTGCCAAGGCATTAAGGGCCAGCCAACGTGTTCGACAATAGATACGTCTTAATCAATCTTAAACTGATGCCAGCTTCCTAAGAAGCCATCTTCGTGTTTATTTTAAACGCACTTTCAGACAGCTTCAGATAAGCACAGGGAAAGTAAATTGCGGTGGAGGGGACTTGGTTTAAAAGTTGCAGCCAGGAGCCAGGACACAAGCAAATGCAAATTGCATGGTCACGTAGGTACGGCGTCAAGAACTCTATGTAAATTAGTTGAAAAAGTTGTGCGAACGCGTGCTTGCGATTGCCTTTTGATGTGGCTACTGGTGTGGGACCGGGGGCCTTGGGGTTTGGTTGAAACAAGCCTACAAACTCGACCTCCATCGAGTACGTGCCGCCCTTTCCAAAATGCTTCATTTACCGCACACACTTCGACACCTTCGTCGATGGCATCCCCATCTGTGGCTGCTGCTCCGACTGTAAGTCTGAATGCTACAGCGGTACGGCTTATCTTTCAGTCAGACGTGAGGTGTTAATAGATTTACGTGGCTGCCGTGCGTCCGTGTGGCACCAGCATTGAGCAATGTACTTGCCGCAATTCAAATGCCAGTACTCGTACTCGAGCTCTCTGTTGAGGACTGCCAGCGGCTCCAAATGACAATGGGGCACGCATGCCATGCCATGCCACTCGCGCCTCATTATGACCCACAATGAAATGAAAATAAAAAGTAAAACAACCAAAAATAAAGAAGAGAAAGATTTGCAATTCAAAGTAAAAAGAAAAGAAAGAGGGGAAAACAAAAAAAACTTAAAACAACAGAAATACAACAGACGATGGCGTCAAAAGTTGGCTAAGCAAAACGGAAGTTGACATTATTTTTATTTTCCCTCGTTTTTCTTTCTTTTTTTGGGGGAAGAGTGTGGGGCACAAGGGTGCAGGGAGTGGAGTTGAGTGGCCAGCAAACAAGTTGCTCCAAACTCCTACTGTAAATATATACAGTATATGTATATAAATATATGTATATATGTGAGCTCACAGCCAAAATAAATGCCAACAAGGATAATTCAGGGCTAATCCGATTTAGTGCGTTACCCGACGGCAGCTTCATGGGAGCTGCGTCTGACTGGACCTGGACCCTCAAAAAACCCTCTTGATTATGTGCCGTTCTGGTCCTTCCTCAGCAGGGTCCTGGTGCCAGCCAAACAATGCCATCCGTGGCCAATGTCCTGGGCACTTAAAAGCCAGCTGATGCTGGTTAGCTGGCCAGCGAATTGGTTGCCATACAATGGGACACGTCCTTGTGAGTTTATTCAGCTTAAATCGTGGTAAGCTACCCAAAAGAAAAGTCCAAAAGAGTTCCGTAAAAATAGTTGATCAGGCATTATTAAGTTGTAAGTTGTACAAATTCTGGAAGCCAAGAAAATGCTTTCGTGTTGTGTTAGCTTTTGTGTACATTTATTAAAGTCGTAAGTGTTCTTTTAAAAATCTAAATATTATATTTACTTGTGATTTCCTAGAAATGCACTTATTCTCCTGTTAAATCCTTTGCAGTTTTCGAGTCCCAAAGTAAACCCCAAAGTTTTACCCACAACTCTCTACAATTCTACCCACTGTTCATCCTTCTGTCTTTTCTGTGTTTCCCTCTGAACATCTGTATGTCGTTTCTGTCTCTGTATTTGGTGGGTTGGCTTTTGCAACAAACTCCTGACTTTTTAATGTTGTTTGATGCGTCTCGTGGCGGTCCAATTTTGTTGTAGCTACCGTTTCGGTATTCCTTTTCATTGTTTTTGTACGCTTAAAAATTAAAAACATAATTTTCATGTAGCCGTTCGCATTGTTGTTGCCAGCTCTTTGCATAATTGAATACCATGGTCGACCAGAATGACAATGCCATGGCCGCAGTCCCCAGTTTCACTTCCAACCGCAGCCAGGGACATGACCACACAGGACAGGACGCTACACAGGACAGGACACAGAACAGGCCACGACTCGAGCTAACTTATTGACTGGGAGTCTGAGTCTGTCTGTGCGTGTGGGCTGCGGCTTTTGTGTGCGTCAGTGGACGGGTCCGGGTCTGGGTCGTTCCTGACAACTGCGGACTTTAAGACAAAACGGCGAGGCTATTGTACAAATAGGCACAGCCAAATCTGCCTCAGACGGCTGCAATTGCTCAGAGTAGTAGCCACCGAACTGGGGGCGAATAAAATGTGAATGAAAATAGAGCACTGACCCCAGTTTCCCACCATTCTGCGCCTCATCATATGCTATCTTATCAGAGCACATAAATCGAGAGTTTGACAGCGACTTAAAGCTGAAATCTACTTAGAAATTTAATGAGAGTTTTTTATCCTCCAAGGGAAGGACGGGCACATGAAAGCTTCCGTTAATGCCAAACCGGCACACGTGGCGTATGCGCAATAAAACTCACGCGATAGCTAATCATTGGGGAGGGGGATTGATTACGGAAACTCTTAAAGTCATCAATTAAAGCACAAGTTTTTGGAAATGTTAACTCAATAATCTTTATAGAAAACTGATAAGAATAATATAATGTAAATATCAATGAATAAATATATTTGTGGAATCGGAATTCAATCGGTGAAGAAAAATCTAGCGGGGTCTTTGCTTTATTCAACAGAGCACCGACAAACTCTCCTTTGCCGTCATCTTGGATGAATGCTGAGCTCTTTTTCTACAGTCCAAATTTACTTTTTGTGTGCATTTTTTTTTGTGGCTGTCTACTAGGATGCCTAGGAAACTGTTTGGAAAAGCTAAAACCATTTCACTTTGCACCCGAAAATGCCACAGTTGAGTTTCGTTTTTGGCTTCTTCCCCGCTTAGAAATGCACAAAGGAATTCCCCAGCAGCAGAGCGATCCCACTCAAGAGGAGGGTGGTTGGGAAGTTAAAAATGCATTCGTGCTGCTCCTTTAGTGAGTTTTGCGAATTGCATGCGATAAACTTTATAATTCAATTGTGGCTCTGTGCCCCATGCACCCATGTCGTGTGTCAAAGCCGACGCCAGCGCGCACACATGCTCATACACAACCAGAACCAGAACGTGTGGCAACTTCGAAATTCGTTATTTTAATTCGGAATTAAAGCACTTGTAGCTCCACCACAAAAACCACCATCTTAATTCAGCCAGGTTGTATTGGGTGGTACGTGGTGCTTCAAGCCATACCAGTTTCAGGTACCACAACCCCGAGAACACGTGCGTGTGCTGTGGAATCAACAAATAAATACCAGTACGTATCCTCAATGGGCAACCAAATATTCCACCTGACATTCTTAGGTCAGGTTTGAGGTGGACCCCTCATTATTAGTATGTCAATTGTAATTAAGCATGGAATGTCCTGCTTTTCACCTGTCATACATATGTATCTTAGCGACATTCTTTGGGCATTGAGTATTGCTGTAAGTTAAAATACCAGGGGCAATGTGCTTATGTATCCAGAAAGGTAAGCAATTAGTAGACACTTAAATTATTTAATGATGAGATGTGTTTGAAGAGTCATAAAGGACATCAAAAAAATTGATTCTAACGACTAATATAACTTGATTTGGAATCTGTAGAGTAACGGAATACCAAATGTCTCTACTATTCAACGAATTTCTCTTACTTTAAATTAA